CTACTAGTATATATATATATATATATATATATATATATATATATATATATATATACATATACATATATATATATATACATATATATATATTAATATCGTAGGAGGGACCGTAATTAATTGGTTATCGTATCCACTTGGTATGACCCGGGGTTTATCCAAAATTATCGTCATAATTTAGAATATCATTTACATAGTTGATACAATCGTGGTTATCTGAGTATAAAACATCATATGTTTCACGAAGTAAAGTGTCTTCGGGCAAGTTTACTAAACGGTAGCAGTATTTTATAAATTGTATGCTGTTTTATACGGCATATCAGTAAACGGTGGTGGTTCTACCTTTTCCCCCTTGGGCCAGATAGAAATAATAATAGGGTATATAATTAACCATAGATATAAATAAAGGTTAAGTAAAAAAATGTATAATCGTTAAGTATGCGTAACATCTTTTTATTTATGTCATTAGTACGGTTCTATGTAAAAAGGTTTCTTTTTTGTAAAAAAAAGCTCTGTAAAAAGGCTCTGTAAAGTCGTAGGTTTCACACACTAGATTAAGTTTTCCAAACCTAAGCTCTGCGTCTTCATTGTATTTCTCTAATTTACCGTGACAGGAATGGGTGCGGTTTTCTTATGTTGTGGAGCACCTGTAGCAACGATTTCAGTCATTGAAGGACATCTTCTCTGGACTGGTCGCGATTTTCTTGACTTTCCGACGGAAACTTAGCGAACATCTTGAAGATGAAAAAGAAGCTGCAGCTTAGGCTGGTCGCCCGAATAGTCCTTGTGTGGACTTCGCTTCAACTAGTCACTCAAGTCCCAGGTAGGTCAATTTTTATCGCAAAAAAGGCCCCAAACCTTCGTGCGGTCTAAGCTAACTTAAAGAGGCCACTAATATAATGACCACACCTTGCCGATATAAATTCGATAGCATAAACTACCAGACTTCAGTCATGTCTTGGCAGCCGTGCAGTGTACGAGACATGTGGGGAGGCCTGTCCAAGACAGTTTACCTTGTCAAGTAAAAAATTCTCTTCAATACACATGTGCAAAATCTATGGAGTCAATCACGCTGCCCTCTCCAAGCTGTGTTACCGCCCTCCTCATATTTCCACACCTACTGTATACGCAAAATTTATAAGTAATTCACATTTTTAATTAGCGTAGACAAGATTCTTATCCTAGCCTATAATATGATTGTTCTTACCTTTACACCATCCCAACAATTGAGTCGAATTTACTTACAAAAAGCGAGAAGTCAAATCTACTTATATAAAGCTAGTACTAGCTTGAGCATGTATATCAGTGGCTTGCCATACATTGTATCATGTGAAATTATCCTGCAATAAAACGTATTCTGTATTTATTTATATACAATTGTTTGTAGCCTGTAACCTTAACCGAGTTGGTCTTACTGTTCAACAAATGTCTTTTTTAAATTTCATTCATTTATTTATAACCGATTATTTCTTATTGATCTGCAGGGGACCAGTATGTAGGGTGTCCGGATGTCTTTCTAGATATTGATTGCCCCTATGGCCATGTGGTTAGTATAGTGTCTGCCTATTGGGGTCGACAACCAGGAGACTTTGACACCTGCGGGTCCAGTACTATTGACAACTGTTACGTCGATGTCACAGAATCTTTTAGCAACTTATGTGACGGATGGTTTGGCTGTGCCCTTCCTCCATCCGAGCGACGGTATGGAGATCCCTGTGACGGCAATAACAAATATGCCTGGGTCGAGGTAAACTGTCTTCGTAAGTATTGTTTCCTTGTGTCCTAATTCTATCATGTAGAATATTGAAGGATCACAAAGCCCCCCCCCCCCAACAAAACATATTCGTAGTTATGAAGAGGTCGGAAGAATAGAACAATAGTCAAAATACTAAATAAGTTTTAGCGTACTGTATAGTATTTTCTATACTAGAATTGGGCGAAATGTGCAACACAGTTGTCGTGGTTATCATGAAATGATAGAATTCCATATTAGCTCCGACAGGTCTTTTATTGTAACCCCACCTCAATTTGATAATAATTAATCATATTTGGTCGCACAGTTAAGGATTTTACCTAGATGAATAAAAGAGTCGCTTCGGTCTGGCAACATACATGTAAAACAGCGCAAGAAATCTAGGAATACACTACCCTACAATATTTTTTTTGACATTACCACCCAATACAATTGTCGTTCTTTCTTTTCTAATATCATCATTTTCCATGCAAAGCTTCTGTTCTTCAGTTCTAACAAATTTCTGATTGCAGTTATAGTGTGTCCCACACTTTCCAACCCTTCAAACGGTGGCGTAAGCTACAGCTCCATGTACTACGGAGATGTGGCTTCCTACTCATGTGACACAGGATACAGCCTGAATGGCTCCTCTTCACGTAGCTGTCAGCTTACATGGACCTGGAGTGAAAGTGAACCAACTTGCCTGGGTAAGGCGCCATTTTTTCTCCCCATCTTCTATCGTCATTAGCTCCGGTTTTTATTCGTTCATTCAAATATTTATTTATTTATTAACTTAATTTTCTTCGTTTTTTCTATCCATCTATCTATTTATCTATCTATCTTTCCATCCATCTATCTATCTATCTATCTATCATTCTATCAATTCATCTATCTTTACATCTATCTATCTATACATCAAATATCTATTTTATCAATCTATAAAATAACAATACTAGTAGCTATAACTCTATCTTTTAGTTGATATATTTTATCTAATTTACTATTCTTTGTTCATTAAGTTTCTTAATTTGTTTTGTGTTCAGGTCTAACAAATTTCTGATTGCAGTTGTAGAGTGTCCCGCACTATCCAACCCTTCAAACGGTGGCGTAAGCTACAGCTCCAGGTACTACGGAGATGTGGCTTCCTACTCATGTGACATAGGCTACAACCTGATTGGCTCCTCTTCACGTACCTGTCAGCTTTCAGGAAATTGGAGTGAAAATGCACCAACGTGCCAGGGTAAGAAATGTCGACACATTACTGAAACATTAGCTTACCTGCCAGTCAAACCTGACCTAGATTGGAAGTCCACCAACTTGCTCAAGAATGCTGATAAAAAACAGAATTAATACAAAAAGATGTACAAGCCAAAGAGATATTCAAAAACAAAATTATTATAGTAAAAAATCTTGATAGAATTTCTATCAAGAAGTGGCACAGTTCACGTACACTTCTGGATACAGCTTGTAGGCAATTCTGTAGTATAACTTGTCAAGCTGATGTATATGTTGTACTAATACTCGTAAACTTAGTAAACTGAGATTCTGTCTTAAAGTTTAATTTCATTGACTGTTCTGAGCATAATATATTCTTCCCTTTTGTGAATAGATCAGGAATGTCCGCTGCTGACAGCTCCTGCAAACGGTGCAATGACTGGATCCAATTTCTACCAAGATGTGGTAGAGTTCACGTGCAGTTCTGGATACAGCCTTGTAGGAAATCCCGCATTAACCTGCCAAGCTGATGCCACATGGAATGGAACGGTCCCAACATGTACACGTATGTCATGGTTAAGATAAGTTTATTATTGATTTCAAGATGTTTTCTTTGAATATATGGATCATGGATATTCAATTGAGCTGCGGATTAAAAACAAAAACAAAAAGGGCTGCTCTAAAATTTTCATTTTACTATTTGAGGCGTGGTCTGGGCATAATACCTTCTTGCTTTTTATAAACAGGCAAGGAATGTCCGGTACTGACAGCTCCTGCAAACGGTGCAATGACTGGATCCAATTTCTACCAAGACGTGGTAGAGTTCACGTGCAGTTCAGGTTACAATCTTGTGGGGAATCCAACATTAACCTGCCAAGCTGATGCCACATGGAGTGGAACCGTCCCAACATGCGAACGTATGTCTAGAGAAATCCCTATGGATTTTTGTTCCCTTTAAGTTGTAACTTAGTTCCTTTACTTAAACGGAAGGAGTGCACAACACTGATCTCTAGCTTTCGTTAACTTGTCAAGCTGATGGGTGGAGTCAGGAGCTGTCTCAATATTCACATGATTGTATTACTAGACTAAGTATACTGAGACTTTCTAAGACAAATTTACTATTTGAGCCTACTCTAAGCATATGCTTATAATTTATATACCAGGCAAGGAATGTCCGCTGCTGACAGCTCCTGCAGACGGAGAAATGACTGGATCCAATTTCTATCAAGATGTGGTACAGTTCACGTGCAGTTCTGGATACAACCTTGTAGGAAATCCTACATTAACCTGCCAGCCTGATGCTACATGGAGTGGAAGCGTCCCAACATGCGAACGTATGTCATGGCTAAAATTATTTTCAATTTAAAGATGTTTTCTTTGCATGTATTGATGATGGATATTTCTTTATGCTGCAGATTTAGAAAAAGACAGGGTTCCTCTAAAATTTTCCTTTTACTACATGAGCTGTGGTCCGGGCATAAAACCTTCTTGTGTTTTTATAAATAGGCAAGGAATGTCCGCTATTGACAGCTCCTGCAAACGGTGCAATGACTGGATCCAATTTTTACCAAGATGTGGTACAGTTCACGTGCAGTTCTGGATACAACCTTGTAGGAAGTACTGCATTAACCTGCCAAGCTGATGCCACATGGAGTGGAACCGTCCCAACATGCGAACGTAAGGCTAAATAAATCTTTCAATTACTTTTTTTTTTCTTTTGCGTTGTAACTCTGTTTTTTTTGTCCTGCAAACGGTGCAGTGACTCAGTCAAATTTCAATCAAGACGTGGCACAGTTGATGTATGATTCTGGTTACGACGTCGAAGGTAATTCTGTATTGACCTGTCGAGCTGATGCGTGGGTCAGGGGCCGTCTTAATATGCACATGTACATTTTGTAATAGATTACTATTTTAGAGGTTCTGATAGTCCGTATTCGAGTCTTTGATTTTATTCAAAGCTTAACCTTTCTTTCTAAATACAATGCTCTAAGCATATGTTCATACTTTATGTTCCAGGCAAGGAATGTCCGGTACTGACAGCTCCTGCAAACGGTGCAATGAGTGGATCAAATTTCTACCAAGATGTGGTAGAGTTCACGTGCAGTTCTGGATACGGCCTTGTAGGAGAGCCTGCATTAACCTGCCAATCTGATACCACATGGAGTGGAACCGTCCCAACATGCACAAGTATGACATGACTGAGATTGTTGTCAATTTTAAGATGTTTTCTGAAATAAATGGATCATAGATATTCATTTAAGCTGCTGATGTAAACAACACACCGTAACACACAACTCTCCTCTCAACACAACACACCGCTAAAATTTACTATATGAGCCGTGGTCTAGGCATAATATGTTCTTACTTTTTGTTAATAGGCATGGAATGTCCGGTACTGACAGCTCCTGAAAACGGTGCAATGACTGGATCTAATTTCTACCAAGATGTGGTACAGTTCACGTGCAGTTCTGGATACAATCTTGTAGGAAATACTGCATTAACCTGCCAAGCTGATGCCACATGGAGTGGAACCGTCCCAACATGCGAACGTGAGGCTAAATAAATCTTTCAATTACTTTTTTTTTTCTTTTGCGTTGTAACTCTGTTTTTTTTTTGTCCTGCAAACGGTGCAGTGACTCAGTCGAATTTCAATCAAGACGTGGCACAGTTGATGTATGATTCTGGTTAAGACGTCGAAGGTAATTCTGTATTAGCCTGTCGAGCTGATGCGTGGAGTCAGGGGCCGTCTTAATATGCACATGTACATTTTGTAATAGATTACTGACTTAGAGGTTCTGATAGTCCATATTTAAGTCTTTGATTTTATTCAAAGCTTAACCTTTGCCTTTCTAAATACAATGCTCTAAGCATATGTTCATACTTTATGTTCCAGGCAAGGAATGTCCGGTACTGACAGCTCCTGCAAACGGTGCAATGACTGGATCTAATTTCTACCAAGATGTGGTACAGTTCACGTGCAGTTCTGGATACAACCTTGTAGGAAATACTGCATTAACCTGCCAGGCTGATGCCACGTGGAGTGGAACCGTCCCAATATGCGAACGTATGGCTAGATAAATCTTTCTATGTACATCCTTCTTTTTCTTTTGTTTTTGTTCTTTAAGTTGTAAATTCGTTCCTCTATTGAAATGGAAGGAGTGGTCACTACTGATCCTGGAAATTGTGCAGTAACTCAATTGAATTTCTATCAGGATGTAGCACAGTTGACGTATGACGTCGAAGGCAATTCTGTATTAACTTGTCAAGCTGATGCATAAAGTCAGGGGTTGTCTCAATATGCATTTTATTACTAAAATACTGAGATTCTCTAAGAGAGATTTCTTCTAGTATTTAAGTACATTTAAAGTTTAACCTTTTCCTTGTTAAATAGACTGCTCTAAGCATATGTTCATACTTTATGTACCAGGCAAGGAATGTCCGCTGCTGACAGCTCCTGCAAACGGAGCAATGACTGGATCCAATTTCTATCAAGATGTGGTAGAGTTCACGTGCAGTTCAGGTTACAATCTTGTGGGGAATCCAACATTAACCTGCCAAGCTGATGCCACATGGAGTGGAACCGTCCCAACATGCACACGTATGTCATGGCTAGAGTGTTGTCAATTTTAAGATGTTTTCTTTGCATGTATTGATTAGGAATATTTATTCAAGCTGCAGATTGAAACAAAATAGGGTTGCTCTAAAATTTTCCTTTTTACTCCATGAGCTGTGGTCTGGGCACAATATGTTCTTACTTTTTTAAACAGGCAAGGAATGCCTGGTACTGACAGCTCCTGCAAACGGTGCAATGACTGGATCTAATTTCTACCAAGATGTGGTACAGTTCACGTGCAGTTCAGGATACGACCTTGTAGGAAGTCCTGCACTTACCTGCCAAGCCGATGCCACATGGAGTGGAACCGTTCCAACATGCGAACGTATTGCTAAATACATCTTTCAATTACTTTTATTTTTCCTTTGCGTTGTAACATTGTTTTTTTTTTTTTGGCCTGCAAACGGTGCAGTGACTCAGTTAAATTTCAATCAAGACGTGGCACAGTTGATGTATGATTCTGTTTATGACGTCGAAGGTAATTCTGTATTAACCCTTCGAGCTAATGCGTGGAGTTAGGGACCGTCTTAATATGCACATGTACATTTTTACTAGAATACTGAGGTTCTGTAGGTCCATATATAAGTCTTTGATTTTATTTAAAGCTTAATCCTTTCCTTTGTAAATACAATGCTCTAAGCATGTTACATTGTTAATGCTTTATGTTCCAGGCAAGGAATGTCCGGTACTGACAGATCCTGCAAACGGTGTAATAACCGGAACCAATTTCTATCAAGATGTGGTACAGTTCACGTGCAGTTCTGGATACAACCTAGTAGGAAATCCCGCATTAACCTGCCAAGCTGATGCGACATGGAATGGAACGGTCCCAACATGCGAACGTATGGCGAAATAAATATTTTGATGACTTTCTTTCACTTTGAGTTGTAACTTCTTTGTTCAGTCAGACGGACTGAACACTACTAATCCTGCAAACGGTGCTGTGACTCAACTCAAAAGTGACTTATCATGATGTAGCACAACTAACGCATTATTCTGGTTACGACGTCGAAGGCAATTCTGCTTTAACTTGTCAAGCTGATGCGTGGAGTCAGGGGCTGTCTCAATATGTGATGCACATGTATTACTAGTATACTGAGATTCTCTAAGACAAATTTCATTTAGTCTTTGAGGTCATTTAAAGCTTATTTTTTTTCTTGTTAAATAGACTACTCTAAGCATATGTTTATACTTTAAATACCAGGCAAGGAATGTCCGCTGCTGACAGCTCCTGCAGACGGAGCAATGACTGGATCCAATTTCTACCAAGACGTGGTAGAGTTCACGTGCAGTTCAGGTTACAATCTTGTAGGAAATCCAACAATAAATTGCCAAGCTGATGCCACATGGAGTGGAAACGTCCCAACATGCACACGTATGTCATGGCTAAGAGTGTTGTCAATTTTAAGATGTTTCTTTCGCATGCATTGATGATGGATATTTATTTAAGCTGCAGATTTAAAAAAAACAGGGTTGTTTTAAAATTTTCTTTTTTACCACATGAACTGTTGTCTGGCATAATATGTTCTTACTTTTTGTAAATAGGCACGGAATGTCCGGTACAGACAGCTCCTGAAAACGGAGCAATGACTGGATCTAATTTCTACCAAGATGTGGTACAGTTCACGTGCAGTTCTGGATACAATCTTGTAGGAAATACTGCATTAACCTGCCAGGCTGATGCCACATGGAGTGGAACCGTCCCAACATGTACACGTATGTCATGGCTAAGATTGTTGTCAATTTTAAGATGTTTTCTTTGCTTATATGGATCATGGATATTCATTTTAAGCTGCAGATTTAGAAAAAAAGAGCTGATCTAAATTTTTCATTTCACTATATGAGCCGTGGTCTGGACATAATGCCTTCTTGTTTTTTTATAAACAGGCAAGGAATGTCCGCTATTGACAGCTCCTGCAAACGGAGCAATAACCGGATTCAATTTCTATCAAGATGTGGTACAGTTCACGTGCAGTTCTGGATACAATCTTGTAGGAAATACTGCATTAACCTGCCAAGCTGATGCCACGTGGAGTGGAACCGTCCCAACATGCGAACGTATGTCATGGCTGAGATTATTGTCAATTTTGAATTTTTATTGCATAATATTAATATCAAGTTAAACTGCAGATTTTTCAAAACTTTCTTTTTACTTCTTTAAAGCCGCGGAGTGCCCACTTTTGACAGTTCCTGTAAATGGTGCAATGACTGGATCCAATTTTTATCAAGACCTGGTGCACTTCACATGCATTTCTGGATACGACCTTGATGGGAGTACTTCCTTGGTATGCCGAGCTGATGCGACGTGGAGTGGAACAGAACCACGTTGCACACGTACGACAATATATCTATATCTATATCTATCTATCTCGATATATATATATATATAGATATTATATAGATATATACATACATATACATGTAGATATATAGATATATAGATATATAGATATAGATATATATAGACACATGGTTTCGTGTTTTATGTTTACCTTCACAGAAATATTGAGTAGACTGTAGAATGCATCAGTAGCAGCGACACCTGTGCTGCAAAACAATGTGAACCAGTCAGAATTGCCCTGAGGAAGGTGAAAAACCGTCACCGAAACGTCGGCTGAATAAAAGACTTGGTTGTGTAAAAAGAGTCTCTTTAATCAGTGTCTTACCAAGCTGACGAAACTATTCAAGGAGGAAAAACTATGGTTTTGCTCTGTTTCTTCTTTCTCTTCTCTCCAAACAAAAACGGTCCATGGCCGGAACTAGAAATCTGTCACCATGGTAACTAGTGTTTGGTTACATCATGTTGACATTTTATAGCAGGAGGGATCAAGACTCCTTTCTATATATATATATGAATGTGTTTGAGTAAGAATTGAAAAGACCATATGCCAAGGTTATTATCATGCATTTGGCTATCAAATGTTGCCTTTCTAGTTGTAGTTTATTTCCAAATGTCGTTCCAAATTTCATTCTGTACTAGTTAACAACAGTGATATTACAACCGTATTTTTTTTTACCTAGGCTTGCAGTGTCCTCAGCTAAACGCTCCTGCAAACGGTGCAATGACTGGATCTAATTTCTACGAAGACTTGGTAAAATTCACATGTGGCTCTGGATATTATCTTCTTGGAAATTCTGCTTTAATATGCCAAGCTGATACCACATGGAATGGAACCGTCCCAACTTGCACGCGTAAGATAGTTTCTTTTCTTTTCGCAATTGAGGATTCAAGTTTTGGCATTTAGTAAGCATATCGATATATTTCTTTGTTAAAGTTAATTATTCATTCTGACAACAACACTGGACTACAGACACAGCCGTTTTTACCCCCCCCCTCCCCAGGTGTGCAGTGTCCTCATCTGACCGCCCCTGCAAACGGTGCAAAGACTGGTTCTCATTTTTATCAAGACGTGACAAGCTTTTCATGCTATTCTGGATACGATCTTTATGGAAGTTCTTCCATAACGTGCGTAGCTGATGCCACATGGAGTGGAAGTGTTCCGACATGCACACGTAAGATAAAATATATTTTTCATAATTCTTGATATCTTATTTAAAAATACATTTGTCTATATCCTTTCATCGGGTCATCTTCTGTTTTGTCGATTTAATACCGGCAAAGCGTGTCTAAACCACCCACATGAGGTCTTGGTCGCATTGACAAGTAGTCGGCTTAGGCAAGCCCCTTAATCCTTACGTCTACAAAAAAAGGAACCGAGAAAAAGCGGTCGTTATGGCCGGCTTATAGAGGTTGTCGTTTGGGAACGTTTGACTGTAGTGTACATCTAGTATTCAGTGTAGTTTCGTGTAGTGATACATTTTTACCTTACTAGGAGTACAGTGTCCACTGCTGGCTGCTCCTGTGCACGGCACAATTTTTGGTAACAATTTCTACCAGGACATGGTGCAGTTTACGTGCAATGCTGGGTATGACCGTGTTGGAAGCTCCAGCTTGACCTGCCAGGCTGATGGTACATGGAATGGGATCGCCCCAACCTGTACACGTACGTTAACAGAGTTACCTTTTTAGACAAAAATACCGTTAACATTTGTAAATAAATTTTCAAAAATGAAATACGGTACAGATCTTCTCTCTATATATATACATATGAGGCATACATTACGAATGTTATTTCTTTTCTCCAAATCAATTTAAAATGTTATATCTGTTACTAGAGTTCGTGGAACCCACATGCCGAAAATAAGATTAAAAAAATCCATCCATAAATACTTACTTGAGTTATGACGTAGACCTTAAATCTGCCGATTACATATCTTTTTGACGAAAGAAAAAAAAAAATATATATATAGATATAGATGTAGATAGATAGATGGATAGATGGATAGATAGATAGATACATAGATGGATAGAAAGATAGATATGATAACATTCGATACAAAATAAAACTGTTGAAATCACCATCATCCACACCATACTAAAGAACATATGCAAACAATAAAGGTAATATTTGCAAAGTAAATGCATTATGTTTACCTTTGTATATGGTCTGCTCTGTTAATTCTAGCTCACACACATTCATATTTATGGTGACAGGAGTCTAAATCCCTCTTGCTATAAAATTGCAACATGATGTGTAATCTTACACTACTTACAGTGGTAACAGGCGTCTGGTTCAGGTCATTGACCTCATCTGTTTGGAAAAAAAGAAGAAGAAGAAGAGGGAGAAGAATGTAAAAATAATAATTAATACGTATTCTATTCCAGCAGATGAAAAACTCTATCACCGACAAAACTTAAACATATCTCTCTTACTCGATTAGGTGTGCAGTGCCCACTGTTGACAGCTCCTTTGAACGGTGGCATAACTGGAGGGAATTTCTACCAAGACGTGGTACAGTTTACGTGTGATACTGGATACGAGCTTGTCGGCCTAAGCTTCAGCCTGACCTGCCAAACTGACCGCACGTGGGATGGGACTGCCCCAACTTGTACACGTAAGACATTTACTTACTATGAAACAAGTTTACTTACTATGAAACAACTATAATTGCCAAGGCAATGAATTAGACTCACCCAAATTTTCGAATGTACAACCTCAGTTTGTCAAGGAATGGGCAATCCACCGCTTCCGTGATGTCGCGCAGATAATACATGTGACTCCGTGAGCAGTGGATAGCCTGGGCATTCAGTTACATTGGATAAAGTAACAATCGGACTTTTTCGCATGGAGGATTGAAGATGCCATCTACACCAGGGCATTACAACCATCTCACAACAGAGACGGAGGGCGTCACAGACTTTCTGAAACCTATGATTTACTCCTCACGGAGTCTCGTGTGTTATCCCCATTCTGATACCACGAGCAGTTACTGAGATATGAATTGACGAAAACCAGGTTTTTAGTAGCCGCCTTTATTTGCATATTGTGCAAATTGCCAAAGGATGACAGGAAAACAGCAAAAATTGCAGGGACCGCAAAGTACGCTTATCGGTTTTTGCCATTGTTTGTGTACCAAAATTACAGTAATACTATTATCTTTATTTCTCATTAGCACAAATTTAAGAATACATTTTCATTTATCATATTATGTATTCATTAGGTGTGGAGTGCCCGGAACTTATAGCTCCTGTGAATGGTGGAATGACTGGCAATTATTTTTACCAAGACGTGATGCGATTCACGTGTGATTCTGGATACGATCTTGTTGGAAGTGTCAGTTTGACTTGCCAAGCTGATCGTACATGGGACGGGATCGCCCCAACGTGCACACGTAGGTCTAGCTCTGCTAAATCAGCTATTTATCATTAAAAATGATCCTTTCTGGAACTGCTTTTTAATATTCCACCAGGAACTGACCTGCAGTTGCAAAACCAGTAACCGCTTCTGCTGACATGTACTTAGATATTGGTTACTATTTTGTTGTGATAAGTAAGGCAGAGGACGAACTACACATTTGCATTAGGGTAGTTATACAGATCTTTAAAAGCACCCAATGCATGTACATATCATACGTAGTGACATGTTAGATGAGGAGTCTTTTGCTTGAAAACTGACAGAGCTTAAAAACATATTATTTTATTATTTTATAATTTTATTTCACCGAACAAACAAACAATACAATACATGACGCATTCAAGCGATAACGCTTATATTCATGTCACCACTAGACAAAATAAAAACAATACAAATAAAATAAAACACAAGACAAAACAATGTCACATGGGTAATGTACAAAACAGATCGAGTTTAGTTAGATATTATAATTTAATACAGTACTTTGTATCAGTTATGAAATCGCTGGGTTTCAGAAAGGTAGAGCTGTGTAATAGTATTTGAGAGTTGACATTAGATGAAATTAAAGATGAACCATTGAGTAGCACCAACGGATAAATTGATAATACCGTTTATTTTTTTATCAGGTGTGCAGTGCCCAATGTTGCCGTCTCCCACTAATGGTGAATCGACTGGCAACAACTTCTACATGGACACAGTCCAGTTCACGTGTCTCATGGGATATGATATGGTCGGACATCCCAGTTCCACTTGTGAAGCAGATCAATCTTGGAGCAATAACGCCCCCTCATGCAGCGGTAGTTTTTTTATCTATTTATTTTTAAATAAATTTTAAAAGGCATCCAATGCGATTTCAGAGCAGCAAAACTGGAAATATTCTCATTAAGGCAGGTTTTATGATATTGACACATACTGCTTCACATTAGCACACTTCAATCATCATTTCATACTTTGGGTACTGGGAACTGGAGAAACAAGCCCCAAGACGAGTCCTTTATTTTCTGGGTGGTACCCTAAAAATCAGCTCATGGCCCTTCCAGTAACCATTTTCCGTCAGAATTTTGGGTATTTTTGCTCCATGAGGGTTACTATACATTGGGATAGTGTGGTTCAAACTCAATATGTAGATATTATTAAGTGCCTAGAATATTGACTTAGAAAAATTGGGTTTCCAAGCCCTAAAAACTGCACTGGATGCCTTTAATAACCTTTTAACCGTTTAATTTTATGGATGACATACATGCGCGCATTGATTTTCGTCTATTATCAAATAAACCCCCGATGAGGCTCTGACCTGGATGCTATCCTCTTAGTCCACGGTGGCAACTGTGACAATAGGGCCAAAAGGAAATGTGACAGGATTTTTTTGTCAGTCCGGAACTAGTTTCAGACGTTGAGTATTTTTATCGGACGTGCACCTAAATATTTTTACTCCGAAACTAGTGCCGGCGAACCGGTACACGTATGCAGGTACACTTTTAATTGCCTGACGTTTGTGAAATCTGTTGTTTGTTTTCAACCATGCAGACATTGATGAGTGTTCAGCTGCAAATGGTGGCTGTGACCATGTGTGCACCAACACCATGGGTACCTTTCACTGCTCCTGCGTAACGGGCTTCAACTTAAATGCAGACGACCTTTCTTGTGATGGTAAGGTTATCAGTATTTGATATATTCTTACGTACATTAATTGCTAACACACAACATGTGCAGTATCATAATGAACACAAATCAGAATTCGGTGACCTCCTTGTCAGGTTAACATGCGCTAAATTATGAAGTTCATTCTTAAAACCTGACAGCATTTATTATAGACTCTGTGTTACTTTTAATGGAATTGAATAAGCATTACCTGATGCCATTAACAGCACACGCTTCCCTTTTAGTCGCAATACTGATAACAAAACAATTCTTTCCAAACTGTGTCCATTTTGTTCAGATATCAATGAATGTACCTTTGGAAACGGTGGGTGTCAACAAAATTGCATCAACATCATGGGAAGCTTCCAATGTTCCTGCCAGGCAGGCTACAGGTTGAATGACGATGGTTTTACTTGCAATGGTAAGTGGCTGTTGACTCAAACGGTTCTTTTTGTTCACATTATGTAAAATTAGTTAGGTACTAATTTTGTGAAATAAAATAGTTTCACGGCAAACAAGTCTATGCCCTTATAGCTAGTATTTTGTATATTTTTGCTAGAAGCCCTTTGGGATTTTGTATAGTTATTGAAAGACATTTTTGACAGCTGATGCTTGTACTGTATAATGTAATTATTATAAGTAACATTCTGTCGAGATCAATGGAAATGCGCATGTTTGCAGATAACGACGAATGCCTTATTGCGAACGGTGGCTGCGATCAGACATGTTCTAACACCATCGGCAGTTTCTTATGTTCCTGTGGGACCGGATACGTTTTGAACAGCAATGGTTACTTCTGCGACGGTATGCAATTTTTTTTTATTACTTCGATTCCATAGTTTATAGTTTATCAAGTTGAACATGCTTGGCACATCGTTTTGACAGAGTTGACCGAGACGATGCATCGGTCTATGGTTTAAGATAGTGTCATTTTTTCTAAATATTCTGCATTGCTACGGAAGCTATTCAGTGGAGCTGTTTTTTTCGCCTAGACGTTACAAAATATAACTAAATAAAGAACAAATTGATTCTCATAAAAATACTGTGATAGTAGAAGTAGAGACAAATTATGCTAGCTATAGTAACGGATAATTATTGCATGGTTACATTATAGGAATTTGATGAATTTTGGATACGTAGCAGAGCGTTGGTAGATAAGGGATTTAACGGCCACCAATTCAACTTCTTCAAGTATACATTTGTAGATCATTCATTGCTATGAAATTTGTACTTTACATGTTACAAGTAACAGCAATTTTAGTGATTTTATTATTAATGTAAAGAATTTGATAAAGTCGCATTGGTCAAAATCAAACCATGCCATTACCTCATGTACAACCATGTTACGTACATGTAAACGTTGTAAATCAATTTTCTTTTCATTTTAAAGCTGTATCTTCAAGAATGTATTTTCAGATATTTGAGTTTGACGATCCAAATTGGCAGGTCTTTTTAAAGTTACCCTGTCCTACGTTTAGTGATTAATACGGCAACGATCTTTCTTTCGATTATTTAGAATCTTTGATACATGTATAGTAATTCTTAAAGAAGGAATTGTTTTCTTTTATTTTTCCCAGACGTTAACGAATGCTCTACAGCAAATGGGGGTTGTCAGCAGATATGCATTAACCTCATCGGAAGTTTTGTCTGCTCGTGCCTTAATGGATATAGCCTTAACAGCGACCGGGTTGCTTGTGATGGTGAGTGTCCTTCCTATTGCATTTTTTAAAAGAAAAATCCCCATCGCTATGGCTAGAATATGACATTCGTCTTTAAAAAAGACTTTCGGCTATTGTATTTTTTTTATTAAAGCGTATGAAAAGAAATACAAGCTTAAAATGGCGAAAACATTAGGTTAATATCTTCAACCATAAATTATTCAAATTCTAACTTATTTGCATAATTCATGGCGAAAAGGTATAATAGTTTTCTTTGCTAAGATATGACTGTCATTGGTTGGAGAATGTTAGATGTAAAAGTTAAAAACATCATTTGGCGAAGGCATGATATCATGGAACTCTAGCTATTATTTGTTTAATAATTAAAAACAATGTTATCAATACCAAAAACGTATCAACTGAATTACTATATATATTAAAACATTTCTTAGGTTAAGCGTTAATATCACAAAGATTTAGAATAAAGAACTTAAACGGAATTTTAAATGTACCTTTTCCAGGAAGGTCAACAACCATTGGAATAAAGGATTGAAAATACAATGTCAATAATTTTTTTAAGTATGAAAAAACATTTAAAAACGTATACCTGTGATGATGTGGATGCCTTTCTTGTTGACAACTGTAGACGTGGATGAGTGTGGTACTTTAAATGGTGGCTGTGAGCAGACGTGTACCAATCATATCCCGAGTTTCCAATGTCTGTGCGATGCAGGCTACATACTGAATGCCAACGGGTTCTCATGTGACGGTAGGTATCGATGCTTTTGTATTTATAATCTTTATTTCGCACAAAAGAAAATGATTAAACGCAACACAATGAACAAAATACTTGCTAGTGCTAGTGCTAGTGACAATATTGTCTGCCCCAGACCTTCCCTACAACTGAACGCAAACGTAGAGGTAGTAACTAGCAAAATATATAAATACCTGCAATTTAAACCGTGAATTCGTCGTCATATTAATGTGATAAACTGAATCTAATACATACAAATGTCATGTCATCAACAGGTTTTTAGAATCGCCCTTTTCATCTTCTTACCAAAAGAAGAAAAAATGACTACAGGTCCAATTCAGTAGATTTGTAATTTCCTGTTTTTCGTGGATAGCTTTCAAGTAATAGAAATGCTAATTTTTCGGTACTGACAATTGTTTGAAATCCATAACTGCAGTACAATGTTGAAAACATTAAATTTGTATGGTTTAATGTTCATATTGATTTATATATCAAACAACAAATCTAGTTTTTTTGCAGTTCTTAATAATTCCAAAAAAATTGTGCATTTATTGCTGTATCATAATGCTGTATCATAATGTATTTAACTCGGCGACCCTTAAACATGATTATGTTTAAATTATACATTACAGACATGAATGAATGTTCCTCTGCAAACGGCGGCTGTCAACAAATTTGCACCAACAACATTGGGAGTTTCCAGTGTTCATGCCTTGATGGTTATATCTTAAATACAAATGGCCTTGCATGTGATGGTAGGGATCTTTGTTTCTGTATTTAACATATTATATTTTTAACATCACAAAGAAACGAGCCTCTGTATTGTTTACTGTAACAGTAGTGGTTTTAGAGCTGTTTGTACTATAAATAATTATACCTTTTCATCTGTTCACCTGCACTTAGCTCGATATGCCATGAATGTACAATAATGGTTATTGTTATTGTCATTATTATACAGACGTGAATGAATGTCTAAATGCGAATGGTGGTTGCGAGCAGTCTTGTACCAACACCATCGCCAGTTATGGCTGTTCGTGCGGACTTGGCTACAGCTTAAATGACAATGGGGTTTCGTGTGACGGTAAGACTTTCTGATAACTTCGAGGCACATGTGTCTTATTTTTTGTCGATGCAATAGTTTACATTTTAATACAAGAGCAAATGTCATTTGCATTTTTTTAAATGTCAAAATTACTTTCTTCAGATATCAATGAATGTGCTACGGTAAACGCTGGCTGTGAGCAGGATTGCAGCAACACCATGGGAAGTTTCCAGTGTTCTTGCCGAACTGGTTTCTTGTTAAATAACAACGGTTTTTCATGTGATGGTGGGTAAATTTATGTTTCATTAACACGGTATGGCTAGATTTTTCATAAATTGCCTTCTTCGCACATGTTCTAGTTTACATTGTATTGTAAGATAAAAATACAAAAATATTCTCATTTTTCAGAGTTGGAATTATGACTGGACTGTACGTTATTTTTTTCCTTTTCGTTACAGATATAAACGAATGCGATAGTGCCAATGGCGGTTGCTCCCAGGATTGCAACAACACCATCGGTAGTTTCCAGTGCTTCTGTAGCACAGGCTATATGCTGGATGTCGACGGGTTTGCCTGTGATGGTAAGTACAGTTTAACTTGTTGAAGGAAAAGACAACAAGAGCTAATTCTGTATCATGTGTATCATGTGTATTATCATGTGTATTTACCATTTGTATCATCTGATTGTAAACCCTGCATCAATTCAGCACTATAAGGCTGCGATTGTACGAGTGATGTTTGACCAATAAACCAGGCCAATAAATTAATTTTGTGGTTTTATTATGTGTGCTAAATGTTCCATGTCGTCATGTCCAAACAATGAGACTTCCACAAAATACATATGTCACGTGCGTTTGACATACACACACACACACACACACACACACACACACACACACAATTAAGAATACTGCAAGTGTTAAACCTGGCTGGATGCAATAATGACGCTTGATAGCTTGTCCTCCTTTCCTAATCAAATGTATGTGAGAGAGTACTGTTCTTTGGCTAAATTCTAATTCTAACATTTCAGCCAAAATTTTGCGAATGGCCACCACAATTACATTATCCATGCATAGTAAAGCATAGTGACTTTAAGAGTTTTAAGTAACAATTATAGAGTTCATATTATTTACCACTTATTAGCATACAAAGTATCATCATGAATCTTTCTGGCATTTTATGTTACGCTGAACATAAATATACGGAAGCACACACAGAAACAAACAAACGCACCTACACACACACACACACACACACACACACACACACACACACAAACACACACACACACACATACATACATACATACACGAAACAAAACTTCCATTTTTATGGAGGTCAGTTTTTCATCAGAATGTACTCTTCTTTCTATAGACATAAATGAATGTGACGCTGCAAACGGAGACTGTGGACAGTTCTGTAACAACACTGAGGGGAACTTCAGCTGTTACTGTGCCACTGGTTACAGTCTGGGGGCGGACCGTTTGACTTGTGATGGTTAGAGATTCTCTTGTTACAGATAGAGCATTCAAGAAGCCGCTATCAGTTTATAACGATAACGATTCCTCCAAAATAGATATACTAGAAATACAGATCTCTATATGTATCTTTATCCATATGTATCTTTTTTTATTTATTTCAACTTTGTAAAAAGGTCATGGGAAAACAGGACTGTCTTTTAGACTCCCTGACCAGAATTAAGATAGAAATGTCCTTTTCAATAAATAATGCATACAAAGAAAATAACAATGATGGTACTTGTGACAGAAAATACTGATAACAATAATTGTAGCAAAATAATAAAGTGATAAAATGATGAAAGAAGTCGCAAATAACTGGTCACATTTAGACCAAAAACAATAATTGAAACAACAATTGAGACAATAATTGAAACAATAATTGAAACAACAATTGTTAAAAAATATCAATAGTGTTTAATAGTAGCAAATAATAATGATAACAATTTGAAAAATGACAGTTTGACAGTGGGAAATCCAGGTGCAGATGTTGTTAGGGTTCTTGCTATCTTAATCCATCCCTGTATCACAGACTGTATATAAAGCGTGTTATTTTGTTTTCGGGGCTTTTATCTAGATACTTTTGACGCAGATTTACAGTACTTTCACACGATTTTTTAAAGATCTCCATTAGTATGGTAAATTCCATGCTATTCTTGTTGGAGTCCAGCAACAGTACGGCTTGCATAGTAATTGCACAATTGTGATAACATCGCAAAACCAGTAAATAACCAATTAGTAAAATGCTCTTTTTTCAGGTTTTGACCCGGTTTCGCATCTCTCCTGCTCGACCATAACGACTACATCAATATCCATCACCTGGATCAAGCCAGCCTCTGATATAATTGGATACAGTATCATATACACACCTACACAAGGTTAGTGTCCATCAAATTACATTCCATACAACTGCGTATGTGAGGTCGTGCGGCGTAACTGAATAGAGCTCGGCTCAGAAACAGAGATTTCGAGTTTGCCACCGATCTTGTGCCATTGGAAAAAAGGCTCTTTACAATTTACATTTTTTCACTTAACGCTACATTTTTTCACTTAATTCAAGTAGAAATAATAAATAAGTATGTCTGTTGTGTGCATTTGTCTGCGTTGGTCGCGGCATAAAATAAGTTGAAAAAACTTACGTGTGCCATCGCCATGACCTGTAATGAATGTTGGAATAAAGAAGTGCATATTTTTTGTTTCCTGTCGATTGTATGCTCACATGACATTCATTTTACGCTTTGAATCAGAATGCTTAGGTTTACCATCAGGTATAATTGTTGACAATGCAAGTAATCATCATAAGCATGACGTTTTGTATTTTATTGGTTCGCTGAGAAAGTATTTTCTTCAGGATTCTTTCAGCCCTCGCCGAAGACCTCCACCAGGAGTCCTGGCGACACTAATACAACCATATCTGGCCTGTTCAGTGGAGTCCAGTACTCCATTTCCGTTCTTGCATTTGGACTTTGGAATGATAGCGCGAATGTCAGCATTGAGTGTATAACTGGTGAGTAAAGAATAAACTCATGTCTTAGAAAATAGTTTAATTGATTATGCTTTAAATGCTAACTATCATTACTGTCATTTTCTATACAATGTTACTGTAATTCTAACCGAGAAAACTGAAGCAAGAGTATATACATGTCTTCGGGTGTGGTGTTGTAGCTTGGACGTAGTGTGCATCTGAAAAAAATTAAATTAAGAACCAATTAAAAATTGAATTAAGAACCAATATATATATATACACATTTTTGTTCCTTATTCCTTGTTACAAATGAAGGGCTCCAGCCTCCCACCAATGTCTCCTTTAGTTCGGATAGCCATGAGTCGGTCACTGTTCATTGGTCACATCCTGGTCGAACCCTGGTGCTTGGCTACAGGGCGTGGTTGACAGACAAGGAAACTATGTCCATGATTTCTTCACGGCACCTTCCCCAGACAGCTACGTCGGCTACCTTCACTTCTCTAGTTCCTGCCACGGAGTACGTGTTAGCCGTAAGCTGTATCAGCGAGTTCCTTGAAGGACCACAGACAGAATTAACAATAATAACAGGTGAAAAAAAAAACAGTCCTATGAAATAATATGTGTGATTTTTTTTACTCCGTTAATGAGGTCAGAAGCCTGCGGCGGAGTCTTAAGATCTTGCGGTCAGTTTGCTGCATTCTTGTGTTGGTTTGCAGGTCGAGTTCAGTTCCTTTCTATGTCATCTTCGGTTCTACTATAGACTAGTCTACATCTGTCTTTTGATAGCTAAAATGGCAAAGTCACACCCTTTATAACCATTGTTACCAATTGTGATTTTTTTTAAAATAAGTTTTGACATCCTACCCACAGAGACCGACCCTCCGGTGCGTCTATTTGCGGACGGCATACATCACAACAGTTTGGCCTTGTTCTGGACCCCGCCTGTTGCCAGGCTCACGGGATACGAACTCACGTACGGCAGCACAGAACGACACAGAAAACGAAGATCCACAACTTCCGTCATCCTACCTGGTAACAGCGATAACTATCTGGTCCAAGACCTGGTCCCTGCCACACAGTACACATTCAGCTTGACGGCGGTCAGTCGTTTTGGGCGGAGCACAACAATAACGTTAACGGCAACAACAGGTACACAAACAAACAACATAGAACTATATCAGACTCCAGTGGCCCCGGTTTCCATTATATTGTTGTGTTGCATTGTATTATTTTATATTATATTGTATTTACAGTCAGTATCAAATTTAATTGTATACAGCTGTGAGAAAATTATGTGACGTAATTCAGGAAAAGCACATCTGTGCCCTACGCTGCCTTACCGATGTGCGTTTGATTGTGTAAGAGAAACAATAAACAGATATCATCCATAATTAAAACAAGATAAAGATAAGCATGTTGTATAATAGTATATCAAGAAAACATTTCAGGTTGCAAATTAATACACTGCATTTGTGGTTCAAACAGAAATCCTAATACTTATTATCGTTTTCTAATGGTTTTTCTTTGTATTCTGAAGGCACGGATCCACCATTAAATTTCAACGTTCACAAGGTTTCCTCCACCTGGATGCATGTAAAATGGACACCACCTGTAGCAGCTGTTGTCTCCTATGACCTTGAGGTAGTAGAAGCTGCAGGCCAGGTCGAAACTACGCACTTTAGGTGAGTAAATGGGGACACTGTGTCATTTAATGGAAATTATCATATAGCCAGGTGGCGTTGACCAATCAGAAGCCCCCATTCCATATTGATTATGACACCATAATGTCACAGTTAGCTTGATACTATTGAAGTATTGCAAAATCATCCCAAGTGTCCTTTATTTGCACAATATACCCCTTAAATAATCCCACATTACAAAGCACACATATACAAATGTCAATGCAAAGCATATTTTTCAATACTTGCTGTCATAATACCTACTAATATAGGCAAAAAATATATACTTTGTCTTTGGACTAGGAGAGAGGCCAGTTCCGGATTAATGGAGTGTTGAAATGTATAGTTGTATTGAATGACACGCATTTTAGAGAAAGAAAACGAAGTAACGAAGTAGAGTAACACACAACATAATACTACCAATAAACAACAACCTTTACGACAAACTACTGTATTTTCTTCTTTTTTTTTCACTGTACTGTTATGTTCGCTGTTTTCATTGTCACTTCTATACAGTGAACTTATCATTGCGGTTAACAAATAATTCCTGGACTTTCTTTTTCCTGCACCTGTTGCCACCGCGAACATATAGTTCCGTGAACATGTCCATTTTTCTCAAACCGTGAACTTTTGCTACCTTGAACATAAAGTGAACTACATTATGGTAATAAGAACCCAATTTTCATGAGTTCTATTAGTTTAACAATCTCATAAATTTGCCAATTGATGTTAATTTTTGAGTATGATATATCATAACGTCTGGTTTCGACTTTACATACAGCATACCCCCTTCTTTAACTGCTTTCAACGTAACGAATCTCGTCCCAACGGCAATGTACATCATCCGGATTGCAGCAGTCAGTGTGTACGGGCGAAGCGTCAGCATCGCGACCTTTGGCAGTACAGGTATAGCAGTGTACAAAATCCTTTTTTGAACCTACGGCAAAAATTAGGTTGCCCATCAGAATTTTAGGTTGCCCCACCTATAAGTTACTACTTTCCTCAAATTAAGTAACGTTACGTCGATGAAGGTTAGACATCCAGGTAATAAGTCACTGACGAAAGCTAGTGGATACTAGCTGAAACGTCTGACGTTTTCAAAATCATATCCAGTTGCTTGAGTAACTGCTTTTTGGCGTAAGTAACGTTACATACATAAGCCTTTGACAATATTTCAACAGCCTATAGTTAACTCATACTAGTAATAGCCATTAATACCTAAAATTGAAAAGCATCTACCGGATACGGTGGTGCAAGCCACGTAGGCATGATGGGGGGGGGGGGTTCTTAAAATTCAGGTAGCACACTGGGCTACCTAGGTTCAAAAATGGGTTGCCCCAAGTAGAATTTGGTTGCCCGGGGCAACTGGACAACCAGGCATTTTGCACGCTGTATAGTCATTCATTGCTTGACTCAATCTCGGTTTATATGAAGATTGCAACAACGGCGATACACAGTATCTGATGTACCTGTTGATACCTTTAAAGTTAGTAGAGTTGCGCCCAAAACAATTATTCAAGCAACTGGATGTGATTTTAGATACAGTCAGGGGTTTCAGGGAGCACTCACTACCTTTCATCAGTGACACCGGAGTGTTGTCAGACAAGCAGGTTTATAAGTACGAACTATTCATTGATTACAAATAGGTCAAGGGAAATTGTTTGAAAGTCCCCAAAAGAAACAAAAGTTAGACAAGTCAAGACAAGACAAGGACATTTAAATTAGTTAGGTAGCTCCTGTTGTTTCACAACAGAAGCTTAAGTGCTGTCTGTTCTCTGTGCTTGGAGCTTTATTAATAGCAGAGTTGTTTTGTTTTACCAATTGTTGTTGTTGTGTTGCAATTTAAAATAAAAAGCGGCAAGATGTATCCGTTTTCAATCAAACATTGCTAAAAACATCGGTATGAATCACAAAACTCATTTATTGCATTAGAAATCTATATATGCATACAATTAATTTTTCTATGGCTCATCAATTTAATCATCAATACAGCATTTCAAACCGTGTAAATTTACACCATTGTGGTGTAAATGTTTTAACAGGTTTAATCGCTATTCTAGATAGGAAATCATAAGTAACATTTAAACCATGTGCATCCGAACACAGATACCGTCAATGACTTTATACCGTCAATGACAATGTCGAAAAGGAAAAGCACAACATCAGCTACAACAACAACAGAGAGCCATGTGTTTATGACCACAGATGCGTTCTGGTTTAATCAAGTCTCCAAAATGTACACCAACCCTAGCACAGGTAACAATTATAACTGTCTTTTAATACCCTTGTCCTGCGGAGTACAATATTATTGTTGTTCTGCACATACAGTACCATCTATATACTGTAGCACCCTGTGTAGGTACGATTGGGGGTGTTTCTCGCGCAACGCATCACACCGCAGCGAAACGCAATGAACGAGGAAGTAACCATGCCACCGCAGGGCAAAAAAATGGGTGTCTATGATCTAATTAAGACATAAAATTATTGAAAAATATTGTGCCAGGAATGCCAGCACGACAAAGGGTAAGCTCTAACTGTTGAGACGTTATCTGATATGAAAGTTTGCGTGAGCCTCCGAAACCGTTAACCCCCGTGGCCCCGGATAAGTGCAAGTCATGTTATTAAGGTGTCCCTTATCAATCTTGAATTACTTTGCAGATTCTACACCAGAATTGAAACGATTTGTACTACAGGAACTCGAAACAACATCGATGGCTGCTAAAACAGGTTAGTGTAGGAATCTGAAACGCACTTCTGTGTTATCCATTTGAACCAAGCCAGCAAACCATTGATTTTCATCTCTAGTATGGAAAGTCCAATATAGACGTGAAAAAAGTATCAAATAGTAAATTCTTAACACCGAATGCCATTGTAGTAGTCTAATATTCATTATGAATAACTTACCAATTGCTACAATCTATACACTTTTTGACATTTTACAGATTACCATCTCCAAAATGCTGTATCGACAACACATATGACATTACCCGGTACGTTTACAGCAAAGGCATACACATTTGTTTGATATTTAATGCCATATCTAGTCATACTTTATTCATTGAATAAGTCAGGATATTTGTCAGAGTCACATTCTAGGGTTACCAATGTCTGGACTTCACATTATGGCACGGGTTCTTCCATTTTTTCTTGATGCATATAATGATAGTAGATGATATATTATGATTTTTTTGAGTTGCTAAAAGATGTTACTCATGGTGTCATTCTTTTTTTCATTTTTCAGGTATCGGGTATGACAGAGGGGCGGATCATACTATAAAACCAACGCTAAGTATCGTTCAAAGGGTAAAATGACGTTTTGTTTCAAAATACTGAATTTACGTTATCTTGTCTGCATGTTTTTAATTCACGCTTTGTAGTGACGCTCATAACATCACATTCAAGTTCCTCTGTTTGTCTTGTGTAGATAAGACATCTGGAAGATCAAGTGGATAAATCCTTGCAAGAAGAAACGTCTTCGGAAAATGTCATCAACATCATAAGAGAAATCTATAATCTGTTCCAAACGGGAACATTCCCAGTGTCTTCAACTGACTTTCCTATTGAACTGGTAGGGCGAAATTCTGTACCCATTACTTGCATTTCATTTGCACGTTTTTTTTATCTACGTAAAACAATGTTTTTTTAAGCACCACGCTTATAATCTGTATGTTATTCCCAACAGGAAGCAGCTATAGAACTGTTTAGGAAGTCTTCGGAACTCATAAGGGCTTCACAGAATACAAAAATATCAACGATGGAGACAGTAAATAAGAGTAAGAAGTTAAAAATACAGTTCAATGTACTTTCGTTGACATTCGTGAATGTTACATAATGTTGTTTTTTTCTATATTAACGTTAACTAATAATGTATTTTACCGTTTATTAGTTTTATGTATGTTGTTGTTTTATGTATGCCAATTTTTAATTACTACCAATTTGCTTTTGACGTGATGTTTGGTCACTTCAATAATAATAATTATTATTATTATCATTATTGCTTTTAAGGAGCAATCTATTTCATCTTTGGAAATTTTTAACTTTAGAATCTTTTCTATTTATTAACCATTATGATATGATGACTGGAAAGAGAGAGTAGACTCGGTCCGGGCTAGCCGCCCGATTTGATGATGATGATGATGATATTTATGTTCTTTGACTACTTAAGTCGCAGTACACACAGTTTCCAGTCTGGTCCAGATGCTGCCTGTAGGACATTTTACGATTCTTGACGCCTCTGCGGGTCTTTTCAAAATGGACGTCATCGATATCACCTCGGTAGATGTTTCCCCTAAACAACAGCTGAAGGCCATTAGAGACAAGCAGCTAAATTTTCATCTTAAGGTCGGTTGTAAGCCTCATAATTTATCTATTTCACCGTTGATTGCACATTGGTATTTTTTCTACCTTCATGAGATAACACTGAGACTTTTTAGAAGCCGTGGCTAGGGTGTGGGCTGTGAGTTGGGTGGAGAAAATGCCAGGCAAAATTACAGAGTAGGGGTGGGGCAACCAGGCATTGGAGATTGACATAGGAAAGTCTCAGTACTATAATTAGTTTGTACAATAACCCCTTTCTTTAAAAAAAAACTGATCTTTAAGATTCATAATACCAACTTTTTTTTTCTTTGATACAATATATGGACAATACAAAATGAAGTAATATATGTATTTTGATGATGAATGTACCTAAATATTGCATTTTATATTTCAGCTTCGTCAAGCTGGCTTGTCTTTGACGGAAGCCATCGAGAGATCCGCAAACGCTTTACTGGCTATATTGCCAATTGCGAAGGAGTACTATACGACATTTCAAGACGAAAATGTCATGGCAGTGTTAGCAAGATCAACCACCGGTAATGGCGTGATACTCAGTAGGAATGAAGTAAACATCTCAGCCTCTATTATAAACTGTTGGTTTAATGGCAGTGCAGATGCTACGGTGAGTTACTTATTACTGTTCTCTACATTTAATTCCCTACATAATTTATGCACGTCGGTTTGATAAAAATAGTTCTGTTTGCATTTAATGTAAATTAGATCAACAGAACTTCTTTGATCAAAACACTGAAATACATCGAGTTTAAAATCGTTATTTGAAGAAAAAGTTGTTTTTTTCTAATCTGGTAACTCTGTGTTTGACAAAAAACATTTTATACAACCTATCTTCTGAAATGGACCGACTAAAAGATCTTTGCAAAGTTCAAACTATCATGTTATGAAAAATCAAGCATACAAAGACATTTGTAAAATGTTTGATTATTCAAGCCATACTAATCATATTCTCATATTCTGTAATAGATGGTAATAATGGAGAGGAACCTGTTTTCCTGGAACATATCCACATCTGGGCAAAATGTCACCACACCTATAATCATATTTTCGTTGGGAGGTCAACACATTAAAAACTGCAGTATGCAGCTGGATTTCTCGATTCCAATGGCATTTGAACGAACTGAGGGACCGAGGCGTAGACGTAGAGGTCTGCAGGGAGAAGGACTTAACGAGACGCAGTTCGGAGTAAGTGGTGTCGATGCCGCACGAGTAAGCGACATCAAATCAAATCTGTTTTTATGATCAACTTTGCACACGTGCTGAATCCCTTCAAAAACAACTGAATTGCGTTGAAATTTTACAGATAGATTTTAAAAGCATGTTACATTTGCAAAATTACAATGCAGTACACATGGGCTTACAGTACCATCATTGCACATTCACAATGCTTAACAATGTGTTTTGAGTCTTTCGTGGTTCTCAGAGAGAAAAAAAGAAGACGTTGCAGGGGTGGGGTGGGTGGATGGGGGGTCTCGTAGTATTCTTTTCAGTTCTCTTACAAATGCCTCCTTCTCCGGGACTTAAAGAGGAAGGTTGGACTATAAAACCACCCAATAAATTCGGGTACTGTAAACTCTCACAGCTCATTCTGCAACTGGCAGCCGTGGTGAACACATGGGGAGAGCTAGGCTGAGATAGTATACCAAGTACACCTCTTCAACATTATGTGGAGACATGGATATGTACATGAAAAGTACATATAATATTTTACTAAACAACAAGAATATAGACTAATAACTACACAGGCATGTACTATGCCAATCCTGGTAAACTGGATCTATTCAGCATTTCAGACTTGGATTCTAATATATAATGCAAGAAGCCGCCAAATGTGTTTCTACATGTTTCTACATTGTATATTTGTTAACATACGACTATCATATCTGATTCAATAGAAATCTAGTTTGGCTGTGGATAAGACGTGCAATTTGTGATTACAGATATAAGTTTTGAAACAAACACGGAAGCTTGACAGAGGCTCATCTCTGCTGGAATTGTTCAAATTGGAAACTGTAGGCCCTTATCATGTATAACGACTGCCAAGTAAATGTTACATGGATTGTGTTTAGGTTTGCTACAACTGTCTGTGTCATTCCTTGTATGGCAATGTTTTGTTGAAAAACTAGTGAAGATAAAATACAACATTTTTCAAAACTTCAAACGTCGGTTAATATGCAAATCACTGTCTGTCGTCTGCTCCCATTGTTTCCACTGGCAGTCGGGTTCAGACACCCCGTGGCTTATAATCCATTTATGATGTTGGGAGGATGTGCGGGGTCAATTTAGCTACTAGATCCTCACAGGGGATAGTTTCTTTATTGGTGGAGGACCCTGGGTCCTCCAAATTCCTCTTTAAAGGTGGGTTAATTCAAAAGCCAAACTAATTATGTTTACCTCCGCAGAAGGTAACATATTGTTCTTGCTCTGTTTCTTCTTCATCTTCTTCTTCTCAAAAACATAGAAAAACAACGGCCTGAGCCAGACGCCTGTCACTACACCATGGTAACTAGTGTTGGGTTACATCATGTTGCAATTTCATAGCAGAAGGGATTTAGACTTCTGTCACCAGATAGTGCTGGAGTAAAAATGATAGAACAGACCATATGTGAAGGTAAACAGTATACCATTCTATGCACTATATTTTCATTTTCTGTAACAGATGGTAACAATGAAGAGAAACCTGACGATGGCGTACCATGCGTTCGATGTCCCAGCTTCTACTGTTGTGGTTGTTATCCGGCTGTCGTGGTGGGATCACGCTGCAGCCTACAGGGTCTTCCTCCGTTACGACTCACCACCGACAGAGGAGCTGTATGACGACATGCACATAGCCATGGAGGAAGATGTTGTTCTAGCCTGGCACAGAGGAACAAGGAGCCTGCGGACATGGATACCCGCTCTCGATTCACGCAGGGGAAAACTGTACGTTGGGATACAGGCAGCAGGTATCTTAACATGAGTTATGATTCATTTACAGATGATTAAGCAAAAAAGAACATTTCATGTCAATTTTACAACACCTGTGCAGTGATTTCCATGTCAGGATGATGGAATTGTGTTCAGATTATACCATGTACAACTGTAGCAATGATCGCCAGTCCTTTGTTTCAAATTGTATATCGGTGATGCAGCTTTCGTTATTATCGTTATGATGATATTAGAAACATAACTATAAGTAAATAACCTTCTCATCGGTAGTATTGAGTCTGAAAAGTAGTTTGTGATGTAACGTTGCTTACATTCTTATGCAACCGAACTGTTTATTAGGACGTCGACCTACCCCTTTATCCGAAGATTACGAACTGCTGGTATCAACAGTGAGTTGCTTAAGCTGGGAATTTTCGTCAGAGAAATGGGGAGACACCAACTGCGGGGTTAGAAAACTTCATATTACCTTATTTTTATTCAATTTTCATGTATTCGTTTACGCATTGGTTTACTTGAAGCTATCCGGCGATTTTCAATTTCCCTAGCCCTGCAAATATGTAACAAATCATTACTTAAGTAACATAAATAAGACAATAAAAGGTAGCTTATTATAAGTACAATATGGTGGAATTCTTCAGAATAGTACAACAAGCAAATAAAGTACATACAGCAAATCAAGTAAAAAAAGTAAATGTAGATCTTATCTTAACTAAGTCCTAACACCATAGTCCTCCTGTGCATACAGTCACATTGACCAGGAAGTTTCCATCCTTGTCTAAACTTCATCTAAATTTACATTAAAAGAAATAAAATATATAATATTTCCTTACATTTGTCTCCACCAATTGCAAGTCATGGTACATCTTAGACTATATATACATCTCGCATTATGATGCCTCGAGTTTCTGTTCTTTTGATTTTCGTTTCAAAACAAACGCTGGCAACTGTAAGCACTAATATGTTAATTGTAAATATATGTAATATATAAGATATAAATACTTTAATGCCAAAGTCAGATAAAAAAAATATGCTGGTTCAGAGTCTTTTACTGGCAGTTTTTTTAAAGCTGTCAACTTAACCAAGTTTATGCTCACTTTGCTATTAGGTTCTCTTGGATCTATCCAACAGTGCCATTAGATGCAATTGCAGCTTTCCCGGGCTCAAGGCAGTCGTCGGTGCCAGCGTACACTTTCCTCCAAATTCTATTGACTTCGACAACGTCTTTGGAAATCCCGAGAGCCTGAATGACAACAACATTGTGTTTTACGTGGTTATCGGCGAGTGGGCTCTCTACCTCTTGTTGATGATCTTCCTCAATATGGACTTTCAGCGTCTGCGAGTGAGTATCATATTTATCATATTGTGTCAAATCTAGTAAGCATCATAGGACTATACTGATTTAATTATATTGAGGACATCCTATAGGACGCAAGACTGCAATATTTTTTTATGTTTTTATGTGTTGTACATATTGTAATTGTCGTGAATCTGTATGTTCTGTTCGTACCTACGTTGTATTTTTATGTACATGTATATGTAAGTTCAGCACAATTCACCGGTCCATAATTTTTTATGTACTGCTGCTATGTTGACCACTGTTTTAACAAAAAATAAAGAATAAAAAGTTGGAATGAGACTTCATCGTCACGGTGAAATTTAAGTGGTCACGAAAGCTAAACAAATGATTAGAACGGTATAGTGCCTTATTGTTCGTTTACATCTCCTTGGAAGATTTGGTGGTGCATCCATCATCATCATCGTCACCTTTTGACCTGTTTTATCATTCCTGTACGGTAAAGAAACGGTGTGGTTGTAAACTATCCTTGGGAGAAAACGGACGGAAATTGATGCGAGCGAGGACCGATTCAGAAGTCTTTATCAGATTCTTTTGCAGGCTGAATACATACATAGTGGAAATCGGCCTCAAAAAGGGATATGCTTGGTCAGAGGAGTAGGCCGGCCAGAGAGGGTCCATTTGGAGACTAATGCTAAGTCAGTGTGGGCTTACGGCGACGGTGGAATTTATGTTTTCATATATGAATGAATGAATGAATGAATGAATATGTCTATCTTCTTTAATTGCATTTTTACTTCTTTGCTTCTACACCAGGAGAAGATGAGACATAATTCAACCGCTCCCAACAGGAAGGGCCAGTTGGCACAACTGTCCATCCTTCCGCCAGACAGGATGCCGGCCCCGTGCCTGTATCAGATCACCGTAAATACTGGCTCTATGTTTGGTGCCGGCACCTCGGCACGGATTGGGTTCCAAGTGTTTGGATCGAGGTGCAAGACCGCAGTCAAAACGTTAAATCCCAGAGGAGAAGTAAGTATATATGACACTGCCATTTTTTTACACCCACTATTTTCAAATAAATTGATGTCTCAATCAGGTCACAGACCGTTCACCTTTTTTTGCCCTGCTGTAGCGTTGTTATTCCGCATGTATTGCGTGTCGCTGCGGTATGACGTGTTGCACGAGAAATACCCCCCAAATCTATATATTCATGGTGCTATAAAGATGTTACCGTGTGTGCAACCCACATATATAGGCTCCGCAGGACAAGGAACCAGTTTTCTCTGGTTGAACAGTTGTATACAGTATTTCGTTTTGCAGCTATTACTTCGTGGTGGGTCGTATGACTTCATTATGCCGACGAAAAAAACACTTGGCCATTTGGAAGTACTACATATCTGGCACGACAACACTGGTGGTGGTTACGCTGCCTCTTGGTACTTGAGAGACATTATCGTTAAGGATATGCAAACGGACACAGTGTAAGATCATTATGTTGCCTTTAAAATTGTGCATTATAAGTTGTTCGACTTGACAGCAGATGTATCAGTTGAAATTATCAGTTAGTTTAAAACTATTTGAGAAACTGATATTATTCAATATGACATACACTGATATTGATCAACGTACAAACATCCTGTTGGAGACAGTTTTTTTTTATTACATTAATCGCAGAAGTAACTGAATTGTACTGATCTTTAACTAAAAGTACAGCTACTTTTTAACTAGTAAAATCGCAAACCATATCAAACACAAATCAAATGTAACATGCTTTGTTAAAAAACAAATTTAATGTAATTAACTCTAGTACAATGTAAGAAATGAATATAGTGCTTAAAGGTTAATGTTCACATATAAGATAATTCAAAATTAATTTTTTTTAATTTCTAAATTTTCAAATTTTAAATTTTTTCTAATTTTCTTTTGTTTTTATTTTTTATAAAAACAAAAGAAAATTAGAAAAGAATTATATATATTAAAATATATATTTAAAATTAAATTTTGAAATTTAAATGTACTTTTCAGATACCAGTTCATTTGTTATGACTGGTTGTCTGACGTGATAGGTGACTGCCGTGTCCAAAAAGTTCTGCACGCTGCGACTCGAGAACAGCAGCGATCGTTCAGCACGTTGTTTCGCGAGAACGCCGACGCGATGTTCTACGACCAACACTTGTGGACATCTCCTATTCTTTCGCCTGAAGGTAACGTTAGCAATTGATCAAACGTTGGCAGGGAGTTTATATCGTCCACCGTCTCTATTTAGGGATGGCCCTGATATATATATGGCCACCCCACGTATGACCAACGTTTGCTGACGTCAAGGATTCGTTACGTCTCGTCTAAATAAGGTCACGTGTCCGTAACCATTTACGTTTAGGGATGTTTCATTAATTATCGCGATGGAGGCGACAATGGTCAATTTATTTATTTATCTTAACAACGTATGGGTAGTCTCTTCAGCCCCGCGGGGCTGATTTCCAAGAGAGCCCATAATAAATAAACAAGAATATAATGCAAACAAGGATACAGAAAAGATAATATAACATAAATTAAATCAACATAAATTAAGCACAACAGTCGGTCAGTGGTCTTTGGAGGGCCAGAGGTCAAATTCCGAGTAACTTAGGAAATGATACAAAATAGTAGTTTAATTGTCAATGAAAATTTCATCCCTTTGTAATCGTGTTGGAATACGGTTCAATTTTTATTTTACCTATATCGTAGGGTCCGGCTTTTCCAAGTCAGAACGACTGTCTTGCTGCTTTGCCGTTGCCAACAGTATGATGGTGGCCAGCGCCATGTGGTTCATGGATGACGGCGATAATTACACCAGAAACATCGTATATAACCTTGGATTTATACAATTTACCTTACAAGTAAGACGGAATTTATTTTACGCCGAAATTTACAGTAAGTTACTTACTTATTGACTGAAATTGCCATTAATGAGTACTTGCAAAGTCAGTCAGTGCAAGTACTCAGAACTAGTGGCTCCAATTTTTTTTACGTTACCTATCTACTTACTTACTTAATAGTAGGCATTTCGAAAGATGGTGGTAGCAATTTAGGTCTGTTGTACTGCGACTCCCCTAGCCAACCTTGTGGGCTGAAAGAGAGGGATGGCAAGCACACTTACAAACTTACCAGTGCATCCAATATTCATATTGGTTTTGTACTTACGTTACCTTTGTACGTCTAATATGCAAAATTTTGTAAAATTAGTTACATATGTAGTTTCCTGGTCACGGAAGATGACAGCAGTCAGCATGCCTACCTTACTGCCGGTTACCATAAGTTTGACACTTGATTATAAATAACTGACCCACTCAGTATCCGGTTTAGTGCATATTAGTAATATCTCAAACTTAAGGCCGCAGTTACAGTATGATAAATGTAATAATAATGATCATTTATTTCTTTGACTTGAAGGAACTGTATGTCAGCTTGGTAACTACTGTAATAGTAATACCTGTTACCGTGCTGCCGCTTCTGTTGTTCCGGAGGGAGATACCAGTTCCAGTTACAGCTCCGGGAATAAGACTCACTAACCAATGTATGCTGTTCTTTATTTCGATGAAAATTGTTGTTTTTTGCCTCCTTTTATGGTGACAAAGGGGCTAAACTACTCTACAGGAGAAAAATGTCCAGTTTTCTTCATGTTTTGTTATGCAAATGACAACACAATTGCCACATCCATTGGCCAATACTGCATTATTATTGTTTTGACATTTAACTTTGATTTATGGACATGCTTTTGTTTTGACGCATCGGATTTTATTTGACTAATTGGCTCTTGTCCACCTTTTGTTGGTTGCCTGGTGAAACTTTGTATTGTCCTATGTAAATGTATGCTGGGCTTTACCGGAAAGCAGCTTCTACTAGCTGAATAGGCTACCCAGCCGTTTTATGATGAAATAAATTAAACAAAAACACAGATTCTACTATAAATCTAGTTATGCCTTCATGTCTTTCTTGGAACAAATCATTCACTAATCAGAAAAAGAACTGCATGAAACCTGATATTTATTCATGCCCCAAGACATGGTTTTGCGTAAAGGTTCGGTTGCTGTAGTCCCAATGTATATTGCCTGAATGTATGAATAAGTTTCGAATTTTATGCGGTGAAATTCATAGTATTCTTCTTTTTCTTGCCATGAAAAGCTGAAAAACGCTTGACCCGTTGGACTAAGTACGTGGCGTGGTTAATAGTGGTGTTGGTGTCTATCGTCTCGTCGTTCTTTGTCATCATGTATGGTTTGGACTGGGGCAAGGAGAAGAGCAAATCGTGGCTGAAGGCCTTCTTCCTCTCGTTTTGTCTATCAAGTGTTGTTGCAGAGACTTGCCAGGTAATGCTTAGGAGTCCTTGTTTAGTGGCGCAATGTTTTTATCACAAGACACGGTAACGACACACTTAAGTTTTTTTTATATTTCTACCGCTACCAACAGAGGGGACAAATGCATGAACGAACAAGAGACATGTTCATGTTCACCTGAATCAAGTGAGAAAAGTCTGGTATAGAAAGGCACTATACAATATTAGTTGTATGGCAGGATTCGAACTCGGGACCTCTTGGTTCCGAGCCGAGTCCTCTGTTCTTACGCCACACCCACTCACACACTCTGGCGTGAGTTTAATATACTTTTACACTGTACGGTGTCTAATCTATTGTCTGAAAAATTCCCAAACAAGAATGAGGACACTTTGATACTTGGTACGACCAATGTACAAAGAACTAAGTCATTTAATACTATTTCGTTTTTTTTAAATCATCGTTTAGTTATGCTTTTACGGTTCAGTATTTGCTTTCTAGCAAGTGATGAACTGTCTCTATTTTTCTCTTAGATATTCATCCTGGCACTGATAATTACGTTGATCTGTAAACTACTGACACCTTCCAACAAACTGAGGACGTACGACATTAAGGAAGAAGAGCTACATGTCCATCTTTTGAATGGCAAAGGTATACCCTCCATATAGAGTATTAAGAGCAACCCTAAATCCACAACATAACATTTTGGGTTAAGGTGATAAAACTTTGGAATACAATATTTGATGTTGTATATAACTATTATCAATAAATAAACTTTATTATTTTAAGTAGGTGCCAAGTTGGTGAATAAATGTGTAGATTGTGTTTTTTTAACATTTAAATTCTGTGATGTTTTTGTGGATTATGGATGGAAGAAATTGGTCAGTGGATCTCATTACTAATTGTAGCAAATATCTACTCTAAGCCATTTATTGCTGTATGTATATCCTTTCAGCTACAGAAAAGGTTTACCCACCTAAAGCTTCAGCCGTGCGGATGACGATTAAAAGGAAGAACTTGCAGCGGCAAAAATATTTCTCTCTTCTGAAAAACGCCACCATCATGGTCCTTTTTGTCGGTGTTCTGTACTTCATAAGCCAGCAGAACAAAGACCCATACGCCTTCCATGCATCGCAGGCGTTATCCAACAGACTCACAGATCACTTTGATTCGGTACGTAAGAGACCACTGAAACGTCAGACAGAGTAAACTAAGACTTATTATTCTAAATGATTTCTTTTGCTTACCTTGCTAACAATTGCTCGTTATCTGTTCGATTCTTAATAATCTATTACATATGTAGCCCCATCCGAGGTCATGTTCGTCGCCAGATTACCATTTCAGCTAATGAAAGATGGCAGATTGCCCTTTGAAAGTCAATCTAGCAGAAGTTTTTTTGTTTGTTTTATCGTATGTAAACTTTAGAATATTATTTCTACGTTTCATTAACATTAACGTAATACGACAGATTAAGTTCAATTAGTTGTAGCTCTTTATTTTTATTTCATTTCTTGTTTATTTTCCGTCATATTTAAACAGGGTTTCCCCCGCAGTAATGACACTGGTTTTATTGGGGCCCTGTATTACACAGATAAACAAAATACATAGAGTCACATACAATTAATTAAAGCAAGATACAATAAGTGATGACACTGACAATGATAATGAAGAAAATGGTAATTAACTAATAACAATAATAGATAATAATAATAATAACAAAACCGGTCCAGTCCGTTGTAATTTGTCGTTAGGGAGGGGTCAAAGGTCAGGCTGACTTTTGGATTTACTTTTAAAACTACACATGGACGTACAGGTCTTTAAAGCATGCGGCAGACGATATGGCCTCTATACAAGAACTTGCGCTTACCACATTCACTTGCTCTGCCACAGATTACGACGCCAGAGGACTTCTGGATGTGGATAAATCAAGTCCTGTTGCCTATGTTATACCCCTCGATCTGGTATAACGGGTGGAAGATGAAGTACCTTGACCAACAGTTTCCAATTTATACCGAGGCATTCAGAATCGGCCCGCCACGACTTACTCAAATGAGGGTGACACCAGGTGTGCAGTACTACTATTACTAGTATATCAATTAATGAATGAATATTTGAATGAATGAATGAATGAATGAATGAATGAATGAATATTTATAAAAGGGTCCAGCGACTGCACGCCACGCCGTCTATATGGGCTTACAGGGCACCGACAAAAGAAAAGATCATAATACATAAGAACACATAAATCAAATGATAAATGGTAGATAAATAGACATAGATTACGTATTATATATTATAGCCCACGGTAAAGAAATTCAATTCAAATATGACATAAAGAGTACGTAATAAAAGGTGATGGTAATAAATTAATCATGGAACCATTTTAAAAAGTATATTTTAACAAAGATGAGTAGCATAGCTGGTAGATAGAATCGACTCGGTATAAAAAAAAGAAACAGGTAAATCAGGCGGGGAAGATTATAAGTTCCCTCTGTTTTTTGACATACTTAATTAGTTTAAACAATACTGGTGATGAGTTTAAACAATAACAAAGAAGAAATCCTTTGTTTAATAGATTTTCTAATTCGTCTTCGTCTTCAAATCGATGGCAAAACCCGCACGAATCTCGCCCACCGAAAAATAATACTTGATGACAATAGGAGTAACTAGTGTTAAGGATTGTATATTTTCTATCTCTATTGCAGATACTACGGAACTAGACGATTCCCAGAATGGTTGGGTGGTTGCTATTGAAAGTGTTTCACGTGCACGTTGGCTGTTCAATATCACAAGCATGTTGACAGTCAACCAAGACTGTATATCAGAATGCTCCATGGAGCTTCCTACCACCCTGAATGTGGCCCTATCCACCCTGACTGATCTTCAAGAAAACGATTGGATCGACAAATACACCAAGCGTCTGGATCTGGAACTTTCCTTCTACTTCCCCTCCCGTAAGCTATTCAGCACATTGAAAATGACCGTACATCGAGAGGATATTGGCCATCTTTCAACGTCTGTAGTTGTGGGAACACACAGACTATTCCAGTATGAAAATATATCTGATTATGGCATGATGGCAGCCCACATTCTCTTCATATTGTTGTTTCTGATTTACCTCGTCAAAGAAGCGACAGCCTTCAAGAAGGACGGAAGAAGATATTTTGGTTCCATCTGGAATCTGATGGCATCTTTTAGCATACTGGGATCCGCCGTCGCCATCTGTACGTTTGTAATAAGGCACCACTTCGCATCTGCAGCATTGGACAAGATAGTGCAGGCAACAGGTTGGAACACTGGTGTTACTGAATTCTAGACTACATGCATGAAACTAGCACATGAAACTATCGTCCCGTTGCCAACGTCAAAGTCACCTCCGTTTTTAAATTGTTTTCTACAGACAACACGTCGAGCAAAACACACAACAAAATTTGAACTTGTTTTTGCATATACAAGGTCCAGGAAATACTTAAGATACACAAAAAGTGTCAACGCCACGATATATTAGTAGGAATGAGACCCAACATCAGGAAACTTAGTAAAGAAAAAATGGGGAAAATCGCATGCAAAGAGCAAGACTTTAATGTTGGCTAACAATCCGGTAAAATCTCCATGAACACCCCCCCCCCATAAAACTATAGAGAACTGCTACCCGATAAACGTATAATTCGTATGGCATTATCATTAATAGTGAATTAGTATATCATGGATATAGCGAATCGTCTTCAACGCTCACTATTAACAACATGGTATGATACTTACCTACCAATAAAAACCCTTTAGCCTTTAGGTGTAATGTTGCTTTCAAAAGTTATTGACTCATATACTAAGTAATCATTTGTTTTCCCTCTTGATATGTTTAGGTGAACTTGGAATTGATCGGTTTGTCGACTTTGGGTCAGCTTTTTGGTGGGATGAAACCTTCAAGTATGTGCTCGCCGCTGTGGTCTTTGTAAACACATTGGCGCTACTCCGCGTGGTCAACTTCAACAAGACCCTGGCCCATTTTCTTGCTCTACCGGGTGCCATGAAGAACGATCTTATCGGGTTTTCAGTTATAAGCGCCGTAGCTTTCATGGCCTTCAGCTGTTCAGGTATTTATTATGTTTCCTTCAAGTTTCAAAATGATCCTTTCTCAAGAAGAAGAAGAAGAAATTTATTTCACATTTATTGTACATGGTGCAATGCATGGCAACGACTATCGAACATGGTAGAAAATTAATTAATCCTATAATTACTAAAGATCAAGAGCTAAATACAGTATACAATCAAGTAGGGCTAATCATGAGCTTCAGCTTACATTCCAAGCAGTCTTGTATGTATTTACCTATTTTTTTTTGCATTTTAAGATGTTGCATATATAACGTAGAACATCATACGTAGGCCATTATGAATAGCAAACGCACGGTATCGTTTTGTGTAATAATTGTTTTCATCGCATGTAATTCCTTGTTCACTTTATCACTGTTAATGGATTAAAAACAAATTGTCCAATATACAAATGTAGGAATGGTGGTATTTGGGACACACTTGAAAGCCTTCAGCAATGCCCTACACACCAATTTCGCCTTGTTTGAGATGTTGCTGGGCAGGTTCGTATTTACCAAGTCCCTTTTTTTCTCTACCAAAAACTTAATCTTCAACGTTTCAAATCCCTCATTTAACTTATCAGTCGTATTGCATAAAGATGAACGCCAAGAACTACTCGATATTTTACATTCAGACAAGATATGCAAGAAAATGTCAAAGCAGGACATGTTTAAACACTTGATGTCATGCAAGAACGAATGTATAGCAGACAAACTGTGTAATTATGTTTCCAAATGTTTCAAAAAGAGAGAAGAAAGGGCAAATAACAGTAGATGATAGGTAGTATATAGTATTGTTATAATGTATAAATTCCTAGCAATTAACATTAGAATATAGCGTATGCAATACTCATGTTTTGCATACTGAATGTCCTCTTGTGCATTTAGCCCATCTGGGCAAGAATATGCAATAAAGATTCACATCATTGCATATATTGTTATTTTCTTGCGGTAATACAGGCTGAAAACCAACACCTCAAATTCGCAATGAAAGTATACACGGCATGCCACACGTGACTTCTCTTTCCTACATTTCGTACTAACTTTCTTTTTTGGTCTTTCGAACGTATCTATATGCATGATACACGTAGCGAATACATTTGACGGCCGCTAGGTGTAGACTATGTATCAAAACGTCAAGGTAGCGTACGTACAGGTATCATTTTAGAAGTCAAAAGAAACTGAAAGGCTTAAAAATACACTCTTTACACGCCTTCCTAATCCCAAATATAGTTTGTGTTTGTTTGAACTAAAATGTAAACAATTATCGATTGATTGATCGATTGATTGATTGATATTTTTTCAGGTTCGTTGCCCAGGAGATATTGGACGCAAATCGATATGTCGGACCGGTCTACTTCACTTTCTTCATGGTACTTATCTTCATACTTCTCGTCAACTTCCTCGTGACCATCATCTGTGATGCCATCGCTTCTGGTGACTCCATTGATGACGACTATGACCAGGATCTTGTAGACTACATCTGGACAAGCTTCAAGGAGATGTTAGGGATCCATTCCCCTCCACCGCCTGATGTAACAACAGGTAAAGAAATACTATCATGAAACTTCATCTGTGTTGGTAGTTACATGTTTAAAGTTAAAACTTTTGGTCCAACACAAACAATTCTCTCACCTAGAGCTTTTGACCAGTCACTCTGGTCTTCCTCAGTAGACTGACCCAGTGAAGCTTGCCACGTGGCTTCTTTGAAGTGTGACGTCAACACTGGGTCAAAGGTATCTGGTAGACGATGTCGGCCCCCGTCGCGGTTCAATGAAGGGTGATGGGCCCTGATGTATATGTCTTCCTTCGCCCCTTCAAGAATTGTCTTGTTCAGTGTCAAAAATCCTTACAGTGTGTCAGTGTAAATAAATTTATTGACTCCTTCAATAACCCTGGTCTTGCAATGCCCAACATACAATAACCATCCATATAGCACTCTGTGTAGATATAATTTTGAGGTATTTCTCGGGCAACGCATCAGACCGCACCGAAACGCAAAGAATGCGGAAGTAAATATGCCACCACAGAGCAAAACAACTCAAGGGACCTGATGAAGTTATGAAATCATTGACAAATATTATGTACAAATACCAGCAGGGCAAAAATGTTTGAAAAGACATCGTTCTGAAATCGGGATTTAAAAGTGCCTGCCTACATATGGATGACTTCATGTCTTATCTGCGTATTTACATGTAAATGATCGTAATTAATATTCACATATTACTCTTTGCAGATGAAGACAAGCTGTCCGAGCTAAATGCAAACTTGCGTAAGATAGAAGACTCTTTGGATGAAACTTTAGATTTCACAAAGTGTCTGTGGCCAAAGATTAAGACCAGATCTGAGGTTCCGTGCTCATCATCAGACGGTCAGTATGTCAAACATCACTCTACTACGCTGTCTTCAGACACTTGTCAGATAATTCACGAAGATGTTACATCGCTGGCTATTCCGGCGGTACCGGATGTTCAAGAACAGGTCCAATGCCTTCTCAAAGTTCATGAAGACGATACAGCCAGGCTCGCGGAACTGCACGACGAGAGCAGACGACGTGCCGAAGCGATCCTCCAGAGGAAACTAGCAGAGAGAAGGGGGAAGTCACAGCTAGAACGTGATAAACAGAAACAGCAGACCATGGTGGAAACGGCTAAGGACCTGATAGAGCAACACGCAGCTAATAAATCACGGGTAGAAAAACGTCAGAGGAACGCAAGGCGCCTGTTTGAGAGCAAATTGCGACAGAAGTTGGCAGCACGCAGGGTACAAAAGAAGGACAACATTTGAAATGTAGTTTTCTTTTGTTTACTGTTTATTTCAGGCTCGTAGTATACGTTCATATATAATAACGTGACACAAACATATCTTACAAAAACATCTAAGTATGTACAGATAAATATAAAACAAAAGACTACCGATCTGCCCTGAAGTAACCTTTACAAACTATATCCTTAAATATATTTGTTTTTAAGTTTTAAAAAGTATCATATTTAACATTAAGCGTGAAATAATGCTTACACTGTGTTAGAAGTGTTGTATTTCTTGTCACTGTATTAACAATGATAATGTTGATATTTGTTAATGGTAAGACATAACAATTGTATGTAATGCATATGTGTGTGTTTAGCAGTTACGCCCCTTTTACGTAATCTATCCACCATCCAAATTGGTGTGTACAATTTTGTTTAATCTATGTTGAAATTGATTGTAAATATATAACGTCGTTAGTCATAATATCAATCTATTTCTGTTAATTATACTTGCATGATGTCATAAATTTATTCTTCAGGATTTCAACGTTCTGTGGTATTTTGTATCTTATCGAGGTTAATTGATGTATGTAAGGACGAGTATATAGGCGTCACTAACTACCCAGCTAGCCCAATGGGTCCTTGACCTTTTGGCCTAATCGGTTAGTGCGCTGGTTGTGAGCTGACATGCCACACGGGCGGGGGTCAGGGTCAACCTTCGAGTTACTCCTTTCTCTTGTGTTACATATGTAACATGCATGAGACGATATTGTTATTTGATGTTGGTTATTAGGTTGATTATTATGTAGTAAGACTTAGTGTAGTGTAGTGCTTTTAAATTTCAATGTCAGTGAAACAGAGGATTTTATCCTCAATACACAGTGAAGACTATTTTTATGTGGTTATATCAAATATGCACTTTCATAAATATGATGTTACTTTCTGGAGCATTTCCAACATGAGTAAGTCACAACTATACGTCTGTGAGGCGGTGTGTCGTTCCGCGTCCGTGCCCGTGACTGACTGCTTCAGTACCCGCCAACATCCCAGAAACGTGCCGGGACATCTCCCCCGGTGTGTCTTTTCGCCTCAGGGCGCGAATGTGGAGAAAACAGACGGTTTGTTAGGTGTTAAGCGAGAGTTGATTAACTAGCAAGAGCACAATGACAACACAGGAGTCACTGACTTCAGACGAAGTTCAGTACACAACCATTGTATGCCCATCTATATCAATATACTCATCATCATTATCTGGCCGTGAGAGTTTCACGGATGGTTGTGACTGTCTTCCGCCAGCCCTCCCTATCCTCCATGGCCCTGGGCATTCTGCAACCCGAATCCTCACACAGTTGGTGTATGCAGGTTGTGCAGGGTCAAAAAGTAAACCCCAGAAAACAACGACGCTGCTAAGCCAGTCTATAAGCGCGTTTTTGGTATTCTTTCATCATGCCAAAATGACTTTCCGCAACAGAGTAGAAAACCTGGCCATACATACGTGCAACAACTCAGAACAGATAAAATTGCTTACTGTTTTCAATTTTCAGAACCAACGTAAACTACATTTAACTCTGCATTTCTTTTTTAAAATAAAAAAATTCTGAATTAAAAGCTTCCTGTTCATGATAGAGTTCTGTTAAACTCAGGGATATTCTAACTCTCTGTGACAAGTAAACTTTGAGTCCGTGACTGAAATAAACATGCAAGCAACAGATTGATTCACCTGTCCGGTACAGTGATGTTTCTCGCCGAGGGCAAGTAAGTCAATATGCCGTTCGAGGTTATATCTAAACGTAGTTCGGCCACTACTACACAGCAGTGAAGACTAGTGTAAAGATAGACCTCCCACACGTTCGTACTTCCTCAGACTAAAACGACAAGATCTGCCGGCCAAGAATACTTCGGTGAGTATTTTTACTGTTTCTCAACAGCCCTACGCCCTAGTTGATGTGCCATTTGTTCATTTAACCAGTGAAACAGTTGAAACGTTCGCAGGTGAAAACGTTGAGTCATTTGAAAATGAGCAGCCAATGATATTGCCTAAAAGCTGTATTTTGAATCTTTTTGTAATCTACTTCAATCTTAAAATACTATTAGGATTCAAGTTTTTATGTACACACTGAGCCTCATAAATGGATTGTTTGGTATTCTTTCCCCGGGTTAGCCCTTGATAATAGCTTCGCTAGTTGAGCAACTCTGGCTATACATGTAGTATATGAATGCTGAACCTAGTAACAACATGTACAAACAACATATACATAGGGAATCTGAAAGTTCTAAACCTAAAATTTGCACTTATGTGTACAACCTGGCTAAGACCATCTTCCAAGGAACGCTAGAAGGGAAGCGACGGCGAGGCCGCCAGAAGAAACTCTAGCAAGACAACATTGTTGTAGGAAAGTGTCGTATGATTTTATACACCTGGTAAAAGGATGTCCAGGTAGCTAAGAAAGTCTCAGTGGCTTAAAACGCCGTCAACACCGTCCGCTCTGCTGCATTGCGGTTAAAATTATAAAGGCACGGACGTGCTAATGTAAACAGCGGAGCGAGTCCAACAAGTGACGGGACTCATTATCTCCCAAATAGGCTACCTGTCCGTCCAGGTAGCGTCCCCAGGCCGAGCCCGTGACGTCTACAAACAGCTGCTTACATAATAACTTCTACCCTATCGTATTCCCATTAGGCCACACTGACTTAATTTTATGGATGACATCCGCGCGCGCATTGATTTTCACCTGTTCTAAAAAAAGTGCAAGGCTCTGGCCTGGTTCAAGGCTTGGGTAGTCCATTGTGGTATGCGACAATACGGAGCTCCACGACTGCCGAAGCTCCACGACTCAAGAACTCAGTGCGAGCCGACTCATGAATGCCGCAAGCAGCCAGCTCGCGCCGGCTCGTCGTATACGTCGCTATACTGACGCAAATTCACAATTAAATACTAGCTTTGTATTACTGTGGTTTAGTATCATTTTTATTTTTGGCCGGATTTTTTTTATTCGCCCGCGTGCACTAGTTTGGGGGTCTTCAGAGGATGTCATCCATAAAATTAAGTCGGGGGGGGGGGGAGAGCTACGTGCCAAACGTGACCCATAAAAATGCATAACCATTCCCGCAGCCACAGTGATACCGGGGCTCCCGCTTACAATTAGGACAGATGTACATGTATATGCTCGTTGACATTTCGCTGAATCTTCGGGACAAAGCCTTAGGAAGATCGCAACAGACCATACATGATTGATTGATTGATTGCTCAAGGCAAGATAACCCCACCTGGCTGATATGGCGGACTTCTAGATCTATATATATTAAGGTAGGCAGGATAAATTCCATTCCTTGCTTTATGGACACGTTTAGTTAAAATCTCGTGTGGCGAAATCATGCCTATTGAGCCTTTGTAATCGGTTGTATTTTATTGTACGTAAAGCGTAAGGACAGATCCAGACGTGTTTGATCACGGCATTTCCCGTTCTAGCATTAAACCCTGTTCAGACAACTTTCCTCACTCCACCCAGGTGTGAATGGGTACCTAACTCCGGTTGAGTAAAGTCGTATTGAGGTCACCTTGTGGCGCCGAATGGCAGCCGCAAAGACCCTTGCGACAGTTCCACAAAACGTGTTTTAATAAAGCAAATGTGTTATATGCATTATGTGATTGTAAACCATGCATAAATTCAGTGCTATAAAAGGCTGCAATTGCACGAAAAATGTTTGACCAATAAACCATTTATTATTATTATTATTATATTTGTTCATTTTACAGTCGTTGATGTGTCATTTGTTCATTTTACATTTGATAAAAAGGTTGTTGAAACAGTCGACAGGCAGGCCAAAGTTTGATTTATGCGTCCTTTCAAAATGGCGACAGAAAAATAACTGCCAAGGACCATCCACACTGTGTGGCGGCTCTTATAGTTACCAAAACTGCATCTGGAGAATCTTTTGGCAAGCCAAATAAAAAATTCTTTGTAAATTGTGGATCAAAATTACACACTGAGTTATCATACATACAAATGACATCGGGAGATTTGTAATTCTCCAAACATATGCCTGATTATTAGTTGTGCCTATGTTCGTCTAATGAAACCTTTTAAACAGGACCGGCCGAGGGAAAACACAACATGGTGCCACCAATGAAAAATTTATTGATGTGTGATAAAAATGCTAATATTTGTAAAAAAAATCAGTTGCGGTTATATTATTAGTGGACCTGTTGAACACTTAATAGTAGTGTCCTTGACACAATTGACTCATTTAAATGCACTATGTGGGGCACCTAGATTTGGTTATTATTACCTTCGCCAAGAAGGGTATGTTCTCAGTAGCGTTTGTATGTGTGTGTGTTTGTGTGTGTGTGTGTGTGTGTTTGTGTGTGGTTTAGAAAGATAACTCGAGAAGCAGTGGATGGATTGAAATGAAACTTGGTAGGTGGGTAGATCTTTATGGGAACTAGAAATGATTAGATTTTGGGTCCCCTGGCGGCTTTCCTAGGTACTGCAGCTGAACTTCCGGTTTTGATATCTCATGTTCTGGACATGCTAGGGTCACGAATTTTGGTTGGCAGATAGCTCTTGGGGTAGGGAAGAAGTGACATGAGTTTGGGCCCCCTAGCAGCTTGTTCTGCAACTGCAGGAGCATTTGTTGAAAAAAAATTTGAAGGACGATAACTCAAGAACCGATTGACGAATTGTCGTGATTTTTGGTATGTAGGTAGTTAAAGTGATGCTTGACATAATCAAATGACAAATATGCAAATCAGGACCTAATTTGCATAATTAATGAGGACATTCTATAAATCTGCTTTGTTCGATAATATAACTATGAAACACTTGTGACATCTACTTGAGAACGAGAAAAACATCTGAGGATATAGATTATGTAAATGAGGACCTAATTTGCATAATTAATGGCAAATTTTTATAATTTCATCGTTGTAACTGCTGGGAATTTCATACTTGCCACATTTGGAAGTTAAGTGAAGGTGAACATCAATAAACATAGTTTATTCAAATCATGACCTCATTTGCATAATTTATGAGGAAGACCTATAATAGCCTTTTTGTTAAAATAAGGCTGTCATTGGGTGGAGAATATGATCAACTGATATAATCCATGTAAATTAGGCTCTTTTTTTTTTACAAAATCAATGATTAAAATTGTATAATCGCAAGGGTTAACATCATTTGGCGAAGGTATGAGATCGTGGAACTCTTGTTAGACCTTGGTGTTTGTTTATATATGGCGACATACAAGTCATCTATTAATTTATTAAGACTTATGACAATAGCTCAATCGAGTAAGGTGCTCGCTTTGTAACCATGAGTTAAAACCCCTGCCGGGTAATGCCAAAGACTTTTCAAATGGTACATACTGCTTTCTTTGCTTAGCACTCAGCATCTATGAGAAAGACTATGCAAAGATCAAATATTAAACAACACTACCAATAGACTAGCCCCAATGCTTGCACAACTGTGTGGCCCAGGGGTACAGAAATTGAGATGGGCTCTGGATAGAGTGGAACGGGACCTATAACTGATAAGTCCTCTTTTCGGATTTGTCTGGTTCGTTTTTTTGGGGGGGGGGGCTTCAAAGAAGTACATACGAATCGAACCCCAAATGCTCCTGTTTATACAGGCATGCCCTGGTCTTGAGATACCCAGATGATAGTGTCCTTCCGGCAACAACCAGACAACCTGTTCAGGTTGGTTTCAGGTCTTTCATGTCTACGTCAAAGTGTCTAAAGTAGCATTCAAGCCATCAGACCTATTGATTTTAGATATGATTGTGAAACCCGTCCATGTAAGGTGATTTACAAGTGCGAGAAGATACTAGGTAACTAAATAAATTGTGATGATGAATTACATAAAGATAGCTTGATGTGCTAATTTATCGGTCATTCTGACTATATCCACTCCATTAAACTGTGTGTACTAAGGCGCATACCCCAGACTCTATTTTCATGCTGGAATTTTAAATCTCAGTATTATCTTTTTCTGGTTCCCAAATATGCAACAAATTGAATTGTATGGCCTCCGAAATACTTCGGCACAAGGAAGTAGAAATACAATATCCTAGATTTGCACACAAGAACGTCTCGTTCACTAAACGTCTTGAACCTCCATTCGTCTTCGCCAATATAAACAAATTTATAATGAAGATGAGGACTTAATTTCCATAAATAATAAGAAAATTATGTCATTCATTTCTAATAATGAAACGTGTAACATATGTTGTGCATGGAAGGTATAACATCCATACATAACACAATAATTTTTATGATTATTATAATAGTGGCATTTTCGTTGTTGGCAAAAGGTAGGAATTACCTACTTGACATGTGTAAGATATAGTTGAAACTGAACATATTATAACATATTATTTGTAATTAAGTCTTTAAATTTTGTAAATGCTGATATTTAAATAATTGATAATGAAATGTTACAAATGCATTCTACCAAAAGATAGCTATAGAACTTTTATGTATAAAGGAATATATAATTTTTGATTATCAATTCAATTAATTTACGTTAATTGCAACCGTCTTTTCATAGTGAATGAGACAAAATGAAGCAACAGAATTTGCAAAAGCTTTATAAGCATTTCATGGAGTTATGAAGTCTGAGAACGCCTCTTTTTGGCGACGTCTCAGGGAGGAGCCTAATGGTACAGTATTTGCAAGAATTCTAGGAATGGCCCTACTTTCTGTGACCCCGGGGCTCGTTCAGTATACACTTAGAGGAGGAGTGCACTGTATCGGTCTAGACTTAACAGGTACCAAGTCTTTCTCAAAATCATGAAATGATGGCAGTGCCATGAAACAATAACCCTAGCAGCAACCACCGTCGCCATGGCAATGTATGTTTTCATTGCCAGTCTTGTTGTGCTTGCAGGGGCAGCGGCGGCAGCAGCATGCAGACGAGTCGCGTGACGTTCCGAGCTCCTGTAGTCGTTGTCCTCGCTCTCCTGTGGGTGGTCACGGCTTCCTTTGCCTGCCCGGAGAAATGTGATTGTAACTCTCACGGGCGAGTTATCTGTGCCAGACGGGAGCTCAAAGACGTCCCCTACAACATACTACCCAATACAACTGTCCTCGACCTGGGCTACAACAGCATACAGAATCTGTCTGAGGCTGATTTCTCCAACCTCACCAGCCTGGTGTTCCTCCGTCTAAAGAACAACAGCATCGGCGTTCTCCCTGCCGGAATTTTCTCACACCACACCCGTCTGTTGGAGGTGCTGGATCTAGCTGGTAATCGTATAGCTCATCTCCCGGATGGAGTATTCTCAAATCTGACCAGTTTGATCCAGCTCCTCCTGAACGGCAATCGCATCGCGAGTCTCCCCGCTGGAATTTTCTCACAGCTCACCCGTCTGGAGCGCCTCGAGCTATCTGATAATCATATTGCTGATCTTCCCGATGGAGTATTCTCCAATCTGCTCAGTTTGTTAGAGCTCAACCTGATCAACAATAGCATCTCTAGTCTCCCCTCTGAAATTTTCTCACATCTTACCCGCCTGGAGTGGCTGGAACTATCTGATAATCATATAGCGGATCTACCAGGTGGAGTATTTTCAAACCTGACGAGTTTGCGATTACTTCATCTGACCAATAATAGAATCTCGAGTCTCCCTGGTGGAATCTTCTCACAGCTCACCCGTCTGGAGTGGCTGAATCTGTTAGGTAATCACATAGCAGATCTAGAGCTCCCAGTATTCTCAAATCTGGCCAGTTTAGAACGGCTTATCCTGTCCGACAATAGCATCTCGAGTCTCCAGCCTGGAATTTTTTCACATCTTACCCGTTTGTCACTCCTGGAGCTATCTGGTAATAACATTACCGATGCCCCTGAGGGAGCATTCTCAAATCTGACCAGTTTGATATGGCTTTTTCTGTCTGACAATAACATCTCGAGTCTTCCGGTGGGGATTTTTTCACAGCTGCGGAACTTAGGACAGTTGTACCTAAGTGAGAACCCCTTGAGATGTGACTGTAGTTTACAGAATCTAATGACTTCGCAACGTGTGCGTGAATCACTTCGCGATGACCCTGTCTGCAGCTCCCCTCCCCACATGGAAGGCGACGCGTTGATCGGCGTTGTGCTCCTGGAAATGAAGATTTGTAACCGCCGCGGCGACTGTACCACGGCAAGTGCGGATGGATCTTGTGCTTGCCACGTCGGATGGACTGGCACATACTGTGACAAAGGTAATAAGGAAAGGAATATACATACTTTATCATGGTTCTACTGTTCTACAATAACGGTAAACTTGATATAGCAGCTTAATCGTGAGGTTTCAAAAGTAGGGGGAAATGATGACAACAATTAGTGGCAACATATGAATAGGTCGAAACAGTGTTTCATACCTATATAGGGACATGTCTTTAGGCAATATGTTGATGATATTATAGTCAATAAATAATATATTTGTCATGACTTTCCATCACTAATTTCTTGCAGAATTTAACTTGGCCCTTGGAAAGAACGCGACGCAGAGTTCCACCCAAAGGGTATCTCAAGGAGCCGAGAAGGCTGTGGACGGCAATAATCTTGAGTGTGCTGAAACAAACATCGAAAATCAGCCCTGGTGGAAGGTGGATCTGGCAGGTTTATACAGCGTCAGTCGGGTCAGCATTTTGAGCGCCTCCAGGGGTGAGTTCTCTCTGCACGGAAGCTTATAGCTCAGCTACATGTATGTCTTCGCTAATGCTGATGTCATTTTTGCATCAATAGATCCTCACTATTTAAAACCAAAATCGTGGTCCGTACGCGTGGCCGCACGCGTCCTCCATCTCCTCCAAACATTATCACCGTTAGCCATATGTTTCAGGCCAAACTCCCACATTAAAAATTCAGATCAGTGTTTGTTTTTCTTTCTAGACGTTCGTCTTCAAGGTGGGAGCCACGCCCATGAAGGGAGAGTTGAGGTGTTTCACGACGGCCAATGGGGGACGATCTGTCATCACGATTGGACCATTGTCGACGCACACGTAGTTTGCCGTCAGCTGGGCTACCCGGGTGCAGATGAGGCAAAAACAAACGCCTTCTTCGGAGATGGCACGGGGCCAATATGGCTGGATTACGTGGGTTGTACCGGCAGTGAGATGAGCATAACCGAATGTGACCATGGCAGATGGGGCGTCCATAGCTGCGCGCACCATTTGGATGCCGGGGTCGTCTGCACAATGAGTGAGTAGATCTAATCTATCATTTCCTTGTAAAAAAAATTCATCTTAAGAATATATACCTTGACTAAAACTGCAAAAACAGCATAAACACACCGTTTTGTACATCAGCATGAAAGTTCATCTGAGTTGGTAAATTACATTGTGAAAAACTTAAACTTTTCTCCAACTCAAAATTTGACTCACCAGAAATTTTCGACTGAATCACTCAGTCTTCCTCAGCTATCTGACCCAAATGCTGTGGACACGTGATTTTTCCCACGCGTGACGTCAGCAAAGGGTCAAAGGTTGTCTGAAGTCGATATCGCCCCCCGTCCCGGTTGAGCGATGGTTGAAGTGCCCTGATGTATATGGCCTCTTTTATGCCTCTCTTGAAGTAATCCTGTTCGGTATCCAAGATTCTGACCCCCTCTAGATCCACTGTGTGTCCCGGTGATTCTATGTGGATGTGCTGTGACACCTCAGATGCAACAGAACTGGGTCGTCTATGTTCTAGAAACCTGGTTTTGTGTGTACGACACCGATTTGTGTGTACGACAGGGTCCATGTCAAATTTCGTGTTAAAAATTCAAATTGACCTAACGTCTACGATGCTACAAATAGTGAATGAAAAATTCCAGTTTGGGTGGACAATGCTGTGATAGGGATTTCAAATGTATGAACCACGTATATATCTCAAGAGCACATTGCATACTCGTCATTGTTGATGCAGTGTATAATGGCATTACTTTAGCTTTATTAAGAGTGTTACAAAGAATGCATATCCCAGTGTAAAGGCGCTTAGCATGGGTTTCTTTACTGGGCAGTGGTGACCGTTTCGAGCAGGCGCAGAAGGCCCGTTTCGAGTACCATCAATCGTGAGAGCATCCGAACCAACTGTAAATCTTGGCAAATGTTGCTAATTAATATTGCTGACATTTTGAACCTGGGGGCTTTCTTCCTTTGCCTGAAACAACTGGCATTTAGGCTTGTTTTTGATGCTGGGTAGAAGCGATGCTATGTTGTTGTGTTTAGTGGTGTTCAGGAGGTCAGAGGTCAGTTAGGCCATCCTACAATGAGTTTGTGCCGATAGAAAAATAAGAATTTTCGGCTAAATGGACAATTTGAAGATCAAGCTACACTGTCAACTTCGTTTCAATAAGTGAACACTAAAGTAGGTGATTTTTGACTGCTCATTTCTTAGATATTTACCATATATTTCAATGGGAGCTCGAAATTGTGGGCTGTGTTGTGCTGAAGGTACAAAGCATTCTACTGGCTTACCTTACAAGGCATGCGTAATGTTCCACTTTTCACAGTAATCTTTGTTGACTTTTACAGAAGGTGGATTGACGAACATAATAGTGAGAGTTGGTTCGAACGAGAACTTCACTCGGAATGACCAGTGTGGACAGACTTTCGCGGCCACCCCCGGGCAGACCAGAGAGGTGTACTGCAACCCGACGATGTCCGGCCGCTATGTGTCGGTACAGAGAATGGGGCACGCTTTGGCATTGTGCGAGGTAGAGGTCTATGTTACAGGTAATATTTCAACACGGTATCAAAGACAGACTTGTGCTAGCCCTTGTTGTTTGAGTAATTGGGATTTCGTAGGTTTTATTCTATAATAAGCCTTATTCTATTTTTTGTTGGTGCTTCCTTCAATAGATGTGGCATACATTGTACCATGTGCAATTGTCGTGCAGTAAAGCTCTTCTATATAGATCTAGCTCCAATCTTTTATGTCCCCACAGGACATACCGTTGAACACGAAAGAGAAAAAAGTCGGTGCGAAATGAACATAAATTGGGAATTGTATAACTAGGAAACACGATTTAAATTTTTGCATTCAAACAATCATACAAAAAGTATCAATGGAGCAGATGATTTAATGATCTGCATAATTTTTGTTTTACGATATGGACCTTCATTTTACTTCCAGATGTGGCAATTGTTACATTCTCGCCATTTACCACCAAATGAAATGATAGCTTTTTATTTTTTTTAAATCTGATCTGCAAATTAGGTCTTCATTTGCAAAATCTAAATGCTGCCAGTGGTACTGTACTCAAGCGTTACCACAAATAAAGACAGGACAAAATATGCAGAAAAGTAATGTGCATACACGAAATGTACAATCTGAAACTCAGTACCACTCGTAAAAAGTTTCATTAGATTTTTTTAGTCAATTCAGTGTAGTGTTCATGGATGAATAAAGCTGTGTGCCTGTGAGAAACGATGTAGACTTGTCACACCATTTCATTTACTGTTAATCGTAGGGTCGTGTGGCGTAGCGGCAGAGTGCGCGACTCGGAACTAAGAGTCCCAGGTTCGAGTCCTGACATGCCACCGATCTTGTGCCCTTGGGAAAGGCACTTTACACGGCTTTCCTCACTTAGCTAGGGTGTATTGTCCTGTCATGTATTTGTCCCCTGTGTTGGTGGCGGCATTAATATAAGTTGAAAAAACTTGAGTGTGTCGTCACCACGTCTGGTGATTACATGTTGGAATAAAAAAAAATTACTGTTAATATATTTGTCAATAAAAATGCTTGTATTTCTGTTTTCTATTTGTTTGGTTACAGTCCTACTTACCTTTTGTCAACGAAATTTGTTTGTATGGTCGTTCATTGTATTGCGTTTAGATTAGAAACCATGTCCATTTTTATGCTTCAGTGTTTTGTTGTTTTGCTTTTTTTATCTTCAGGTCTCTGCTGTGACGATGCCATGGGACTGCTAAACGGCCAGATCACTACTACCGACGGTGGCTACTGCTCTGGGAACGACATCCAGTTCTCTTGTGACCCTGGATACGAGCTTGTCGGCAATTCGTCGGCCACCTGCCAAGAGGACGGGAGTTGGGACGGAGATCTTCCGACTTGCCAACGTGAGTTATTACAGTGTATTTATTTCATATCTATTTGAAATGCAACAGTACATTGCACTGACTTGGAGGTAGCAGGGCTGATATTCATAAGTCAACAATACAGGGACAACAAGTAACGTTCCATAAGTTACATCAATAATACCACATAATAATATCAGAGTCCCTAGTTGTCGTGTAGATTTTTTCAATATAGGTTCTAAAAGAAAAGGGTATCTAAAAGGGCTATCGAAACCATCAACTTTCTTGTTCTCAAATGAAGGGAGGGGTTGGTGACAGGAAGTACCTATAAGGATACGGACCTACCTTAAGTCTATACTGTATCATACAGTCAAACTGTCTAAGCGACAACTTTCTATTAGCCGGCCACCTGGCCATAACGACCGTTTGGGGGGACTTGACTAATTAGCTAAGCCGACCAATGGTCCAACGCGACCACGACTGGCATCTGGGACCGCACATGGACCAATCTATGCCTATATCCCCTATATATATATATATCACGTTTTGTGATGACAACTATCAAAAAATACTTCTCCGCGGTAGTTAGTGGTCTACTTTGACAACTTTGACTGTAGACTCTATTAAGATGTATTAACCTACGTATTAATTGCATTCAAAATAATACAAGAAACGCCCTCATGGCGCCAGGAAATAAACCGTAACTTTGTTCTAGCACACACAGAACCTACGGAAGAAATCCGCACGTCCACTGAAGCCATCATTGCCGGCAACATTGCCGGTATCGTCGCAGTGATGATTGTGGCAGCTGTCGTGTTCATGGTCTTTTTAAGACGAAGGAGGAGGGTAAAAAAGGATAATATAACAAGTAAGTGAGATTTAGCATGAAAGTTCATCTGTGTTGGTACAAGTCATTATGAAATGAACTGAAGGAGACGGTCTACATAAAATCTCACAGACCTACCCTGAACAGAGACGGGGGACGACACAAGTTATCTGGCACGTATGACCCGCTACTACCCGGTCACGTGTCAATGACATCACGTTCCAAGAGTAGACGGGTCCATTCCGTGAACAAGGTTGATTGAGTCAACCGAAAATTTTGGGTAAGTCCCATTTCTGTAATCTAAGTGTTGGAAGTTAAAGCTTAGTCTTTATGTCATAAGTAAGTGAGATTTGTTTTTGTTTTTTGTTTTTACTCCTAAATGAAGTCGGTGAACGCCGGATGACGGTTGGAGTTTTTGTGTCCGTAGCTGTAGCTCACGGTCCCTTTGCTGGATCGGTATGTAGTGTGGCATGTTGTCCGATAGTATGCGCGAGATAATGCACGTTATTTATTTTACACCGTAGCAGTTTTTAAAAGCAAAGTAATGTCAGGAATCAGGAAACACCCCTACCCGGAGGGACCTGTAGAACAGGTCACTAGGAACGCCAACTAGATCAGCCGGAAAGCCACGTACTGAATCGAACGCTTTTCGAACGAGTTTTCTTTGCAGAGCGTATCACTCCGCCGTCCATAGCAACGCCGTTGCTAAGGACGACGTTTTCGCGGGCGGCGGGCTGAAATTTCATCCGAGTTGTTGACAGCCGATTACATCACCAGTTTCGGCCTCTGCGTCAAGATGGCGGTACGTATCAGACGTGTATATCATGGGCTCTCCGTAGTATTCATATTTGAGGGGTATTCTATCAGTTTTAGTGTAGTTTTGTGATTAAACTTGGTGCACAGTGAAATGAACAAAATGGCCGCCCTGGACTGATCTGAATTTTCGTCTTATTTGAATTTGGGGGGAAACCCGTTTCGCCCTCGATTTTGCATATGACGATATGTGGATAAAATGTGTTGAACCTTTGGCTATCTCCCATTATGAATATCCTGTTGGTGCGAAGTCTGGATAGGTTTGCAATTTAATGCCAACTAGGGTCCCTTTTTTGGCTAATTTTATGGCTAAAACTCATAGTTTGTCGTTTGATTTCATTTCGGACATTGTTGAATAATTTGCGTATATGTGCTTCATTTCTTGTAAACATCATGTTCGTGGTAAAATCATTTCCGATGAACTAATCTAGTCTAAGTTTAGACCCAGACTCTTAGTCGTTAGATCTTTACAAGGACAGATTCAATTGTAAATTTTGAAGTTAATGTTGTAGTTGAGTCTGATGGATCACGAACTTCGTAAAAGAAATCATCCCTGTGTGTGTTCGTGCAAAAAATTCCCGCCAACTTTATCACGTGATGTCTGGTTGTCATACAAGAACAACAAAGCTGCATGACTGCTGCAAATTGTTACAATGACTTGTCATAGTGTCTAAAGTTACAGCAAGACAAGCATGCATGTACTACCATATCTAGTGATTGATGATAAAAACAGTGCACAATGTACATGTTTAGTAGAAATTATAATAAATGGTTGAGCATGTATATCATTGATTATTGAAATAAAACTAACGTTCATTTTAGTATTGAATTGAGAAAAATGTGTGAAGGGGATTCTTTTATTTCTGTTTCAGATTATCATAGGCTTCACAGTCTAGATTGGTAAGTATCTGGAAAACCAAGGAGGTTTAAAATGTTTAAACCGCCTTGGGCAAACCATGTCATCCTCTCTCCTGGCATTTTTAGAAAATTATTACTAAAATTTAAAGAAGGACAAGGACAAATTGGGACTGTGCTCAAGTTACAGTCACATTAACAGCCCCACCTGACACTTTTAAGCACAACCAATACAAATATATAACTAAGAATAAAAGTGAAAACAAAAGTGTGCACTAACGTTATATGTTAAGAAAATTTCAGGAAGACCCTAGCCCCCAAAATTTGCCTCAAGTAGCATTGCACCAGGTTTCTTGTAAGGTTGGAGAACTGTTTTTTGAAAGTAAACCAATACTTCTTGTGGATGATCTTTATGTAGAAATGTTAAGTTCAAGAAAGGATTTGAATGTAAAAGTCAAAGTAATGTACTGATTATGACACATTCTACTGTGGTTGGACTCTTAAATGATTTAGTAAACTTTATTTTGGTTCACAAAAGTTCTAACACCAAACATAGTTTAATGTTATACTATAGATATTGTGATATTATAGAATCACTTCATTGGCAAGAGGTAACTCTAAAAAATATGATCAAGAGAATGAAGAGATCAAGTCTATTCAGTCTTGTTTTGCTTCTATGCTAAAAGATTTAAAGGATAGTATTAATTCTGGAACCCGGTCTTTCTTTTTTATATATGAATACTGTGATTCATTAAGAATCCAAATTTATTGATAAATTCCAACCTTCTTGCATGAAATTGTTAACCTGCATAAAACTGCAACCTCCCCGCATAAACCTGTTTCACATTTCTAAAGAAACAAATCCTGTTTGGAATTTTATTGTTGTGTTAACTATGCAAAAGTCTGAAATTTCTTTTTCTGATTTTGAATCTTTGGACATTACTTTGCCTTTCTTAAGGATGAGACAAGCCATAGTAGCTCTAAGTTTCTGAGGTGACTTTTCACTACTTCCCTTATTTTCTTTATTGTCTCTGAACTCCACTGTAGTTATCCTTTTCACATGACAAAATCTGAGTTGATTTATTCCTATAGCCAATCTCCTGATTTAATGTTACTGGAAGTCCCTGTGGGTGGAATGGAACTTCTATACAAGCTAGCTGTACAGTCCAAATCTAAATTACTTATTTCTTCTATGCCAACTTCAACATTTGATTCTGAATGTTCTAATTTACTCCATATTGATCAAAATCAGGAAATGCATGATGATTCTGATTCAGAAAAGACTTTTTTGATAGTGAGGATCAGGATGTTAATTTTATAGATGACATTTACATGGCAGCTTGTCTGCATTGGATAACATTTCAGATTCAGAATTCTCTGATGTTGATTAATGAGTGAATTGGGTTTGGTGTCTTATCTTATTTACATTTTTTAAATTCTTCCACCTTGCAGGTAAAAGCCACACCCAGTGGGATTGTCACCAGCAGGACACCAGGATGTTATATTGTTTATTTAGCTTGAGATTATGGATATATATATAAGATGTATTATGTATTGAGATCTTAATTTCCATCTATTCTGTTTATTGTAATCTTAATACAATTTGGGATCATATTTAATAGTCGATTCAGCATTCAATGTCTACTGTAACTTTTGAGCATGTGTTAAGTAATATATGTACTGTAAAAGATGTACTATGTATACATGTAATGATCCCAAGTATTTGATATCCCAGTCCACAACAAAATGTACATCATCATCATCATCAAAATGTACTACTTTGTTTTTTGTTTGGTAATGAGATAAAGGTTGAAGCAACGTTAATGGCTCTTGGGTAATTTTGTGTATAATTGTTAGGATGTATGTGAGAGAGTTATGTTTAGGGATTTGATAACACCCAGCACTTTTAGAAATATGCAAATTCTTTTGTGTAAAACTAGGGACATGAGGACCTGTTATCTTATTATAGTAAGCAGTACACATGGACTATACCTGTAGATTGGATAACAGATCCAGGATAAACTTACCCATAATCAGAGCATGCAATGTACATGTTGCACTGTCCTGACTAGGTACCAGAAGCGTTGGGTTGTGTCCATAGGCTACTTTTTTACTAAGCCAGCAGGTCGATAAATGTAACTTTTCTTAAGTAACTATTTAAACCCAACGCCATTCAAATCGAGAAAAACGGATACAATAATTATTCTTTGAATTCTCCCCAATCATGAATCAATGTTTGAGGTATTCTAGTTCTAATGGTCCGCTTGCTCTAATTAGATGTGCGTTTTTCAAAGGTCAGGAAGCTACGAGAGTATAATGTTTCCTCGCGTTTAGGCAGACGCTGGTTTCGAATTTTCAGATCGGCCGTATCTATCAAGGGACCACAAACATATATTCTGCGTGCAAAATAAAAGAACCTGTTTAGATATAAGATGAATTAACACCCAGTGTAGTCTAACTAAAAGTTGTTTAGACGTAGGTCGACAATAATTTAAATCTAGCGATGTATGGTCATGTGTTATAGGGCATGTAGGAGAGGAGCGCGCTCCGTAGAACACACGTACCTCGCCGGCCGCGGCGCCAGGGATGCGCGTTCTATTTGGGGAAAAATTCTGCTTTTTCCCGTAACATGGCCTCACGGAATTTCGGGGGAAACCCGTTTCGGCCTCGAAATCAAATATAAGTCAAGCACCATCAGAAAGTTTACGATTTGCTCTTTCTATTCCAACAAATTTCCTGTTGGTGCGAAATCTGCATCAAGGCGAAAATACTCAGGGAAATTGCACTAAAATTGCCTGCCTGCTCCCGTGACATGGCCTCATCGAATTTGGGGGGAAACCCGTTTCGCCCTCGAAATCGTCTATAAGTCAAATACCATCAGAAAGATTAAGGTTTGCTCTTTTTCACCCAACAAATTTCCTGTTGGTGCGAAATCTGCATCAAGGCGAAAATACTCAGGGAAATTGCACTAAAATTGCCTGCCTGCTCCCGTGACATGGCCTCATCGAATTTGGGGGGAAACCCGTTTCGCCCTCGAAATCGTCTATAAGTCAAATACCATCAGAAAGATTAAAGGCACTCTATGTAGTTTTTTGCGCAAAAAATTGAAATATTCTAATTATACTAAATTTCGGTGTTAATAGCAGTTACTATCACTTTTCAACACATTTGTGTCATTATTTCACATTTTTTTTCGTATATTTTGTCCGTTCAAACAGTCCTTCTTCAGTTCCGGTGCCACCGGTTTGCTCAGGACAATAACAACAACAACATACAGGGGTTGCCCCCTGGGGTGGCTAATTGGCCCGGGCATGCCAGGCTTGATAGACAGGGGCAGATGTCACAAGATATACCCTCCTTAGAAAAAAACTCATATCTTTCACATGAGGTGGAATATAATTATCAACTTAGAGTATTTTGTTGGGCATGAATAAACTGTGGTCATTATCCCTTCAAAAGAGATAAAAAATCTGGTAAACGATTAGGTATTTCAGAAACTGGTAAGCTATCAACTGACACCCCACTGGGATGTAGGTCAAACCACTGGGAGTGGACAATACCATATGTGTGGTTTGACCAGAGGTTGAATAGAAGATCATTCACAGTTTTCTAAGCTTCTAAGGAGCAAGGATGTTGTATTTTTTGCTGTGGAGTATAATTTTGGAATACTAATGGGTTAAGCCAATGTACTATGTAAAGAAAAGAATAAAAAATATACTTTTTGTATTGTCAAAAAACTACATAGAGTGACTTTAAGGTTTGCTCTTTTTCACCCAACAAATTTCCTGTTGGTGCGAAATCTCCATCAAGGTGAAAATACACGGGGAAATTGCACTAAAATTGCCTAATTTTAGGTCATGATATCAAAAGGAGAAAGGTACATTCTCGGCTCAAAAATTCATGGGGAGCAAATAAAGAAGTCTAAATATTATGAATAAGTTACAATAAGGAAGTTATTTGATTGTATAATCTAGCGGTAAGCTTTCTTGTGAGGCGAGTCGACGCCCGGAGCCGTGGAACGGACTACTTTCTCTCGCGGAAGGAAAAGAGAAACGCATAGAACTCTCGACGTGGCTTTCCGGCTGAGATGTAAGGGTTCCTGCACTGCCGAAATAGAGCTTGCTCAGAGATGACATAGAGAGAAACATAGCTACCAGTTATTCAAATAATTTGAATATTTGATAACAAAAGAGTGTAATTCAGCGGTGGTTAATTAACGTGAATCATTCTTGCCCATTTACAAATACATATTTCCTGGAGGTATGAGATCTCCAACTTCTTGTTTTTTTTTGTACAGTCCAGAGAAGGAGAATGGAGGAGGCGATCCCGCTGGTTCCAGCCCGGCCACAGTTCCCGCGGTTCGAGACGGACCCCGACCGGCTGACGCTCGGCGAGAAGATCGGTAGCGGGGCGTTCGGCCTCGTCTATCGGGCAACCCTGACACGGAACGGCAAGACCCAGGACGTCGTCGTAAAAACTGTCAAAGGTTTGTATTCAGAGTAGTGTTTTGAATTGAATTAGAATGATGCGTTTTACACTAGACTTCAAAGCGATTTTTAGTTAAGATTTAAGATCTTAACGATTTCAAACAAAAACTTTGTGTTTACAAAAGACCCCTATATAAATGCCTGAACCTCATTAGCAGGTACTTGTTGTATGAATCTACTTGTTTCGTATTTCTAATTTTCAATAGTTCTCCATGTGTAACGCCATTGTGAATGTTTGCAATTGACATGTACCAGCTTGGGTTGCCAAAGAATTCATAGGAATTTTGAGGAAATCATAGGAATTTCACGGAATTCATACGAAATTTACGGAATCCATACGGACCTTACGAAATACATATACGATCCATTACAAGGAAACCATACGAATTTAACGAAATCCATACGATCCATTACCAGAAACATACGAATTGTACGGAATACATACGATCCATTACTCGGAAACATACAATTCTTACTACTTTGGTGACCTGCGCCTGGATCACCAAATTAGTAAGGATCGTATGTTTCCGAGTAATGGATCGTATGTATTCCATTGATTTCGTATGCTTCTGGTAATGCATCCTATGTATTTCGTAAAATTCGTATGGATTCCGTAAAATTCGTATAAATTCTTTGTTGGCACCCCTGTGTACAGAAAGCGCTAGTGAGGACGACAAGCTTGGTTTTCTGGAGGAAATCCGTGCAGTAGTGGACCTGGGGGTTCATGAGAACCTACTGGGTCTGGTCGGCTGTTGCACGGTGGTGCGAGACCATCTGTATCTCATCACGGAGTTCATGCCGTATGGAGACCTGAAGACTTTCTTGAGAAAATGCCAGGAGGTGAGCCGCAGCGTTTCTTTTCTCTATCTTAAAAGGCAGTGCGTTCGTTGATAGTTATAAGTTTCTCGAAGCTAGAAGATTCTTTTACATTTTGCAGGCCATTCAAGTTTGATGCGGATGTGCCATTTGCTTCTCAACGGATGCAAAGTGTCATTTTTGAAAAAAAGTACAGTTTTGTTGCCCATGTATGTTTGTCACATATTGGACTCTAAATGTTTCTTGGTGTGCATATTGCTAAAACGTGGAATGTAATGAATAAACCTTAATTAAACCATTGTAATTTTTCGTGTCCATAGCTTGAGACCTCTGACGAACCTCGTGATGATATCTACACCTTCGAAGTGATGCAGATGTATCAGGTGTCCCGACAGATCGCTAAAGGCATGGTATGTACCAGTATGTATGTGCTACACCAAGTCCAATGTGTGCTGGCCAGGTAGACGTACCAGGTGTTGCAGGTGCATTACGTACTTTTAATGTACCAGGTGCTTTATATATGTACCGCGTGCTGCAGACGTAACAGGTGGCGTAGAGGTGCTGAAAACTGATGTACCAGGTGCAACAGATGTAACAGGTGCCAGAAATGTATTAGATATTTCTAATGTACTTATGAGAATCGACAGCATCTGCATTTTGGATAATGATATGGAATGAATAAAATGCTTCGGGAGCCACTTCCTTATTATTGCAATAAGGCCATGTTGATTTGATTATATGGATGACATCCTCTGGGAAGCCCAAAACTGATGCGAGCATGCGAATAAAAAAAAAGTTTTGCAAAAAAAAAAAAGTTGCTTTCACTATGAAATCTACGTGGTCATGAAGGTTGAACAAATGGCCCAGAATATGTTATGGCGAATAATCTACTCTTCGAATTCATTTTTGTCCTTTTTCCTTTGATTTTGGCACTCTACGACATTGGTATCGTTTCTAAATGTTTTCCTTGCAACTTATGGTATATTTTTGCTCATTTAGCAACTGTTTTGCACGATTTACAGTATGGTTGTAAAACTTTTTTTTTTTTTTTTGGAAACGGCCGAAAATTCATGCTCGCGCCGATGCCATCCATATAATCAAATCAACATGGCCTAACGTGCAAGTTGGCTTGAATTCAGGCAAGAGTGATATAGCTGAGTCAGTATGACTTTTGTGTGGACGTTCATGTTTCAGGATCACATCGCCCAGTCTCGATACGTCCACGGAGACCTGGCCGCTCGGAACGTGCTGGTCGGAAAACGCCTGCATGTGAAGATTTCTGACTTCGGGCTGGCAGAGGACATCTACAGCCGAGGGTACCGTCGGCAGGACCGGCTCCAGAGGGTGCCCTGGAAGTGGATGGCGCCGGAGCGGCTGGAAAGTGGAGAAGCCTACACCACACAGAGCAATGTGTAAGTAGTCGTATCGTAATATCTACAGTTTACCATGATAACCAATGTCGGACTCTAACCTTACACCAGACATGTGTAAGTACTCTTATAACGATAACCATATCTAACTCTAAACTTACACTACGATGTGTGAGTTATCCTGATCCTAACGCATATTCTAAATGATACCTCGTAGTTCCCATGGACTTATATATATATTTATGTATATCCCTTTTAACAGGTGGTCCTTCGGGATAGTGCTGTACGAGATATGTACGCTAGGGGGCAATCCTTACCCTGGCGTGGAAGTAAGCGAGCTAAAAGAACGCCTCGAGGCTGGATTCAGAATGGCACAACCTGAGGACTGCCCGCGAGCCATGTAAGTCTGATGGTTTTTATACTCCTGTCGCGAGCAATCGGACACGTTTGACCTATGGTCATGAAAATACACATGAAAGTATCTCTTAAAGTCTATATCCTGCTTACCGGCATGCATGCTACTCAGTATTCCTCGAAGCTGAAACACTTTTGTTACCCTCCATGTAATGGGGGTATTGTTTTTGGTCCGTTTCATGTTTTGGTCTGATATCTGAAGATCGGTGAAAAGGAACTGTATGATATTTGGCAGATTGATGGATGGGGCCTTGGAGATTGTGTAGGTTGACTTTGAGCCCCTGGTGATTGACCTTGGTACTGCAGTTTAATTTTTTTATTCTATTGTTGGCGCGTTATGGACTGTTTGTACGATATTAAGGTAGCATGTAGTTGTTATTATTATGGTTTAGTGGTTTAAATTTGGGTTTCCTAGCTGTTTGCGTTTGATATTTACAAAATGTTTAACTTTGGTCTTTTGTGTTGAATGTTTGGAAAATCTCGTGGATGGTTTGGTATAATTTTTGGTATGTGGGTAGTTGTTGAGTCTCTTTGTGTTTTAGAGTGCATTAGCAGGTTGTCGTATATTTGTATTGCTTAATTTAAAAGGATTTCTACATTATCACCCCTATTTTATAGTAGTGTGGTCTGTGTTTGACCACAGTGTATCTATTTTTACCTCCTGTTTGACAGGCTATATATTTCTTTGGTCTGGTCATTGACCTGCCGGCCTTGCTAATGGGGTGGTTTGTTTGTACACAACACCAACCTCGTTCATGGAGGGAACCTGTCTTTTGCTTGTTTGATATGTTTCACGTTTTGTGAATAACAATGAGGTCACAAAGCTACAGGACCTAAATGAGCTTTAGTTCATATGACGATCGCTAGATGTCGCTTTCGCATTCTCCACAGGTACGATCTGATGCTGCAATGCTGGCGCTGGCAGCCCGCCCAGCGACCGTCCTTCGATACGCTGTATCTGACACTGGATAAGAACCTCGAACTCTACGGACCCGAGTACGCGACGACAACTTAAGTACGTAGACCAGTACGTGGAACGACAACCAGTTCTATAACATTATGCAACAGTACTGACTATACGTATCTAAGAACTGTCGTTGAAGGTTAGAAATCTACTAAGGCCACACCAAGTAAATTTTATGGATGACGTCAAATGGAGACCCTAAATCTAATGCGAGAGGGCGAAAAAAACAAGAAGGGCCCTAAAATACAAGATGCCTAGATTAGAAATATACTAAGAGACGACAAATGGTAGGACACAAATTGAATGAGGTGATACAGTGTAACAAGCAAGAAGTCTTTTATTCATCATCAAAACAGCAATAAATCAGGTGGAACAGCAGTTGTCGTCCTGTGCTTTGGGGAGATAGATGGAGCGGTCAGCAAGTTTCTTTAAATGTGGCAGCATGTACCAAACTGAATTCCTAAAGGAAGTCTTGATTTCCTTGCTTGATGCTTCATAAGCTTTGGTCCGTACAAACCTTTCAGCGGCACTGTCGTGACTCTTTGGTCATAGTTACAGGAAGCGGAATTTCTCTTTTTTTTTTCTAGGAACAGGCCAAAATCAATGCGCGCGCGGACGTCATCCATAAAATTTAGTTGGTGTGGCCTAATAAGAATATACGTCAGGCTCTTATACGCTACGGGTAGAACTCTGAGGCACTTTGGGCTCAGCGCTCTAAGCCTATAGAATAGACTAATTTGCAGCATCCTTGTCTTGACCTGTGTAACTTTTGTTTCCTTTTGGACTTTCAAAAAAAATTGTCTTAAGTTTACTTATTTGCATATCAACCAATAGTTTATAGAATATTTTAACTTAAATCATGGTGATCTGAACCCATGACAACCAATGTTACACACTCACAGGGATGTCAGTTATCGCACACATACCTTTTACGTACCCCAGAAATGTTAAATTTAGAAACGGTAAATATCCTTGCTTGTTCTCACTATATACGTTAATCGTTTCCAAATAGCAAAGCTTAAAAGCAACCTAATTTTGTGATGGTACAATATGTAATGTATATAAAACATCTTAGGTAACCTACCAATGCTAATCAGTGTGTAGATGTTGAGCAGTTGTTTTCAACGCAAACTCCATACTTGTTTCTTACTTACTATATGCGTATCGTTTTCTAATATCACAAATTAGAATGTTAATCTTTGTGACATGATAGTACACTTTCTGTATTAATTTTGTTAACAATAAAATGATTCTTTATGTTACTGACCTACCAATGCTACCATATGTACTACGATGTTGCACGTGGTAAGAACATGGCTCACCATTTCGTTGCACAGACTGAACGATAATCATTGTAGTCCCTTGTTAGATCTTTAAAAAAGCGTTACGTTAAAACATTCGTAACAAAATCGTATAATATTGGTCAGAGAATCTTTCTCAAACGTTCCTCTCCAAACAAAAGGTTTGCCTTATGTATACAGAACAGAAAAGGTAAGCAAAGTTGTCCCAAGAGTGCCTTCCCTCCTAGCGTTTCCAGTCCTCACTGCAGTCGACGTTCTCTTCCCAGTCACAGTCGCCGAGCTCATCGTTCCAGAGTGTGTCTGAGTTGAACAAAGAAAAATTGGAATTATACCTAATCCACATATCAAAGCATCAGTAGATTTATTTTTTGACGTGAAGGTTTTGAAAATCAATGATGCAGCACCCCTGCCAAACCACCCGACCAAAACCACTTCTACAGCCTGACGAGCTTCAGCCAATCAGAGGCATAGCTTTCGGTAGTGCAAAGCTAGGGTCAAAGGCCACTGGGAAGCTGTAAGCCAATCACGTTACGGCTTACATCGCCTCTTTGGGTTCACTGAAACATCCTGTCGGCTATTTTGGGGGCCAGCTGTGCAAGAATTGCTTGAATCGGCATCCGTCAACATTAGCAGCGCACGGTACAGACACTGCTTTACAACAGAGACGTCTTCCTATTAAAGTGTAAGGATAGGTGTGGGAAGGTCTGTGTTGTATCTTAGCCAGCGAAACAGGAACCCAAGAATGTTTACATGTCCGCCATGTTGAATTTAGATAATCTGGGCTCTGATTGGTTTGCATCAAATAGGACAAGCTCATGAATATTTATAAATCTGGCTCTGAGAGTACGAATGTGGGGCTGATAGGGCAGAGCTAATCCCAAGGCTAACTAACGTATTTGCCGCGGGATAGCTCTGCCGTGGGAGAATGTGAAAAATTGGCCGTTGGATTACGTCCCTGAAGAGCGTCACATACCTTCCCAGCATTCCTCGTGGTACGTGACCCCGCGGTCACAGTTGTAGTACTTCCCACAATCCCCTGGGTCAGCGTAATATCCGTTCTGCCGACCCGAGCAGAAATCACCGTTCTCTGGAACAACAATGATCGGGGCGACAGTTAGAAACGTAAACATTCATATCCACGCAGATTTCATAATGAAGGCAACTTTTTTTGGCTAAAATTGTTTTATTCGCACGCTCGCAACAGTTTTGGTGTTCCCAGAGGATGTCATCCATATAATCAAATCAACATGGCCTTACCTGTGTCCGGCGGTGCGGCTGTTGCGGCCACCGTGGGCAGTCCCAGGGCGCTGTTGAGGGCGTTCAGCAGAGGGAAGCGCTGACCCCCGCAGAACTGACCACTGGCGTCATCCTCATCCACGGAGAACACCATCCACCCGCCCAGGCTCTTCTCCTTCAGCCAGTTCACCTGCGGGTACAGCAGGTGTGAGACAGGTGCCGTGTATCTAAGGATGTCTCATACAGCTGCCATGTGTCTGAAGACGTCTAAGACATGTGTCATATGTCTGAAAACATCTTAGACATGTAGCATGTGTCTGAAGGCGTGTTTAAAAACATGTACCAAGTGTCTGAAGACATTTTAGACATGTATCAAGTGTCCGAAGACATTTTAGACATGTAGCAAGTGTCCGAAGACATTTTAGACATATATCACGTGTCTGAATGCATTTTAGACAGGTATCATGTCTGAAGACGTCTTAGAGAGGTGTCATATGTCTGAAGACGCCTTAGGTGTTGCTTGAGTGTTTGAAGGCGTCTTAAACGTGTTATGTGTCGTCTATCTGAAGATCGTCTTAGACTGGCGTGTAGTGCAACTGAAGACGGCTAGGTGTCGCAAGCGTCAATGTACCTGAAGATATTCTAGAGATGTGTCTTGTATCTGAAGATATCTTAAGACAGGTTTAGACAGATGTTGAGTATCTGCAGACGTCTTAGACTGGTGTGACAGTCATCTTTAAAGTATCTGCCGCGAGATCGGCCGCGCCTCAGTCGAGTATATATCTATACACAAATAGATCCGAAAGCTTGAGGCAGGTTGCAGAGGGACTTGCATACCTTGTGCGTGAGGCTTTCCTCGTCATCATACCCGACCCACTGGTTCCCGAGGTAGGCGTAGGTCCCCTTCTGTTCCCGGTCAAACACCCTGGTGGCGCCGCGACTCAGCATCCGGCAGATCTGAACAACATGCAGGGTAACGTGTGCAGGTAAAAAGTCAACGGAAAATCCACTTTTCTGTCTTTTTTTTCAAATTTTAAACTCTAAAAGGCACCCAATGTAATTTTAGGGTGGCAAAAGAAAATATACTTGAAAAGAAATCTGATATTGTCATTGACTGCCATTTCGAAGCATATTTTCATCATCATTTCATCATCATTTCATCATCATCAAGTTACAAAAAATGTTCAGGAGTTTTGACAGGTACGAAATGGCACTGTTCCTGTACCTGTCAGATCTTAGTGTATATCTTATATACGTACCTCGTAATAGCTCAGTAAGCCTTCCTCGTCCGTGTACTGTCCGGGCTGCCCGGGTCCCCTGGACGGGGCGCGGAGCCCGTGGTGCCGCGGGTTCCTCAGCGTGAAGGACCGACCGTAAAGCCCCAGGCCAACGTTCAGCTTCCCGGCGGGCGCTCCACCGTCCAGCCACTGCTGTATCGACGCTGCCTGTTATAGGATAGATCGGTAAAATCTCGGTCACCTACGATGTTTGTTTTTTCAGTGTTATGATGATGACATCGCTGTACTTTTTGAGCTGTTGCGCCTATAGGACATGAATGAACAATAAAGCTTATCTTTATCATATTGCCACAGCAAGTAATTTTATGGATGATATCAGCGTGAGCATTAATTTTCGTCCGAATTTAAAAAAAAAAAGACTTTTTTTGCCCCTTGACAGTGGTCAACATGCCGAAAATGGGCAAAAATGTCTGTTGCCATGCCGGAAGGTTGACTGCAGAAAAATATGAAGACAAAGCTCAGATTTATTGTTTTGTCTTTTACTTTGGTGCAGTGCTGTATTCCATTCCTTTTATATGAAATATCGATGTTCGTTGTCGTTGTCAGTGACAAATGGATGTTGTCAACATTGAAATGAATAATCTTGTTTTTTTTGGTCCGCCTTTTTTTGGGCCCTATCGCATTATATTTGGAGTCTGCGGAGGATGTCATCCATAAAATTTACTTGCTGTGGCCTATAGCTAATATAATACAAAACGCGTATATATACGTACCACGTTGAGTCTTGCCGCCTGTCCCCTCTCCGTTCTGGCGGCGTACAGCGGGCTGGCCAGGCCGGTCACGCGGTCCCAGGACCCGTGGAAATCATACGTCATCACGTTCATGAAGTCCAGGTGTCTAGGAACATATATTTTTATCAATATATATTTTTTGTCTTGTTTCGAGAACCTGGGCAAACTGAAGTTAAACGTTATTGCTTATGCTTGGGTCACATTTCCAAACCGGGGCCCGGCCGGGCTGTTTGTATGAACGACAAATTACAAATTCATATCAAGAATATACAGAAATAGTGCCCATGATTATCATTAAAACTTTTCTATGCTTTGTTGTCTTTATATCGTACTTTTCGTTCCCAAAATCTGCCCGGCCGGGCCCCGTGTGGGAATTGTGCCCTCGACATTAAAGACTAAATGACACCAAAAATGTCAGTAAAATACATATAGATACCGAAATAGTATAGTTACTTGAAGTTGATCTTAAATATGATGACTATGAAATTGAGTTTGTACGGCCTTCCAAGTTGTTTTTTTAAACGCTCCGGCAAGTTTCCCAATCACCTGCCTCAGGCATATCTTTTATTTTTCACATTTCTGTGCTTTTTCCGGAGCTGACATCACGGGGTAACGTCAGCTCAGGAAAAAAAAAACGAAATGCAAAACTTAAAGGTAGAGATACAAGTAGACTGTCCGGACCGTGTCGGGGCATTGAAATTTTGAATGAAACAGGAGAAAAGTTTATGTTTATTGTTAAGGTGTCCGTTACCCAAGTAATATTGTTGATGTCAACCATGGCACACACAATCAGATATGGTCGTATAAGCTTGGTGTCATGAGCACTTTAAGTATGCATCATCTGGCGTGGCCATTCAGAATATCACACAAAGTATAACAAATAGATAAATTGTGACCGTGGGAACTAACGTTATATACTTTATATGAATAGCAAAATTCTTTGATCACAACCATTTATTTTTACGATCCGAAATTTCGATGACCGTCTGTCATCTTCATCATTGCAATTCTGACTGGTACGTTTGCTGTGCACTGACGCTAGATGTTACTTGGTGCATAGTGCACTAAATGTGTTACATGGTTCAGCGTCAGTGCACAGTGCAAACCAGTCAGAATTGCCCTGATGAAGATGACAGACGGTCATCAAAACGTCGGCTCATGAAAAATAAATGGTTGTGATCAAAGAACTTTGCTATTCATTCGTTTACCAACCTGATGAAATTATTTACGGATATATACATGTACTTCACACTTACTCGGAGATTTCTGGAATGTCGTAAGCCTTTCTGATTGCCTCTCCGCCGGCTACCGTTGCCGTCAGGATGAGAGGCGCCCTTCCTGCGGCCTCCCCTTCCGCTATAAAGGCTTGCTTTAGCTCCTGATGTGAAGTAAATACAAAGACCCTTTGTTTAATACGTCTCAAGCAACGTTACTCAGATTAATCAGCCTAAAAGTTCATTTGTGTTGGTACAAGTTATTGTTAAGTAAAGATAAAATTTTATCTTCATGATCAACACTGGAATGAATTTGGTTTTGCCCAGATGTTCGGCTGACTCCGTCAACCTGGTTCACGGAATGGACAGCTAGGTCTCCTCTCGATACATCAGACGTCAGAGACACGAGGCTGTAGTAGCGGGTCAAGGAGACGAGGGGCGACACAAGTTATCTGGCACGTACAACTCGCTACTACAGCCACGTAGTAGTGGGTTTACTTCATAATCAAATTCATCAGGTCACGGTATTCAGTATCCAATAGCCTGGTATCCAGTCTATCGGGGTTTGGGGCACGCTGTCTTCGATGCTCTAGAGTCTAATAGTTTTCCCAGCTCAACAGACCGCCCGGAGTGTTCCAGACTGCCCGGTAGGAGTGTTCCACTTTTGATACTTTTGAGTTTGGCACGCCCATGGGCCCAATCACGAAAAAAAAACTCCAGTCGTGCAATACCTACCGGGGAACCTAGCTGAGTCGGGCGGGGAAGATGAGCTGCAGCCCCGAAGATAACCCGTTCCAACTGCGATAGACTGGATACCAGGCTAACCTAACCCCTGCTTGGAGACTACCTCGCACTTACCCTCACAAGGCTGCTGAACGCCGCCTTGTCTCCGCGGCGCGAACCCTTCCCCTGCGCGGGAAACTCCCAGTCCAGGTCCAGCCCGTCGAAGTCCCACTGCCGGAGAAACCCGACGGCCGAGCTGACAAACTCGGCTCTGTTCGCCGGCGTCGACGCCATGTCGGAAAACGGCTTGGACCCGAAGTCCCATCCACCGACTGAAAGAATCGTCTTCAGGCCAGGGTGTTCCGTCTGTACGGAAAAAAGTGTGCGGTATTATCGAGAAACAGACTAGCCTGGATGCCAGACCCCGGCTCGACAAAGTACTCCCTTCGGCCGGGGAAGGCCATAAGCCCAAATACGTTGCTAAATTAGCACCTGGGGGGCTAATTCATCTCTCCAGCCCGGCTCAGAGTCTGAGGGGGTGGCTAGGTAAAATTTTCGCAGCCGAGGAACTAGCCTGTATATTTCCCCTGGCAATAGTCTGGCACCCAGGCTAGAAGGATAGTAAGTTAAATCAACGCTATCTCATAGTATACTGATCTGTAAAATACCTTCTTTCTTACAAAAAAAACCTTCTTTCGTATCAATAGAAAGGTTCTAGCTATTTATTAGTGGGTACCAAAAATACAGGGACTCCTTACGTAGCTTTTTTTGTATTTCTAACGCTTTAAGAAGGAAATTATGATGAACATGTACTGAGAGATGGCAGTAAATCAGATTTCCTCATCCAGAATATTTGGGGGGGGGGGGGGTGCCGGCCGGAAATTGCATTCATTGCGTTTGGAGGGGTCTCGTTCCCATAGTTTGTCTTACCTTGAGATTGTTGAACCTCTCGTACTCAGGGAAGTCTTCGTAGTCGTAGTTGTCGTCCAGGACCAGCTGATTGCCCTCCATGGTGCCGTAGGCGTACACGAGGTGCGAGCAGAGACCGGCGTGCAGGGAGAAGTCCTCGGGGTCCAGGCCTGCAGGCTGCGAGCGCTCCTGCGCCCAGCTGCCGTAGAAACACACCCGGCGGTACGGACTCTCCACGGGATCTGCCGGTGATGGACAAACAAGTTTGATTGACTTAGCATGAAAGTTCATCTTGACAAAAATTAATGAAAATGATCACATTTAAACCTGGTAAACCTCTCCCAATGACATAGACATTTTAATATTCTTATGCTATGCCCCGACTCCATATCTACGTACTTGTAGGCCAATTTATATGTAGTGCATTACTAAAGAGAGAAAGTATTGCAATAGATATATAGCAATGCCTAACGCACATAATGTCCTACGCAGTATACGTTTATATTCCTGTAGTAATACTAGTAGTCTCTTAAAATAGATTTGATTGTATTGATCACATTGTTATTGATGCCATACATTGTACCATGTACAACTGTCGAGCAATAACGTTAATTTATTCATTCATTCATGCATTCATTCATTCATTCATTCATTCTGTGTTGGTATACTTCATTATGACTAAAAAGTTATGCCCAACACTAAGGCAGTGTATACGCGCGGGCCAACCGCCCAACACTGAACAGAGACGGGGGGCGACACAGGTTATCTGACACGTGCGACCCTCTGCTGCAATCACGTGTTTCCGACGTCACGTCCCGGAAACTGCAGTAGACGGGTCCATTCCGTTAATAAGGCTGACGGAGTTAGCAAAAAAATTTGGGCAATTTACTTAATGTTGCAATTGGACATAACGTTTAGCGTTTTCGTCATAATTTTGTAAACTGAGAAGGCTTTGTTCGAGCATCAATAACTTTGTTTGCTTTGTTTAATAATAATCTCGTTTAAAGTTTGAAACACACCCGGCGGTACGGACTCTCCACGGGATCTGCCGGTGATGGACAAACAAGTTTGATTGACTTAGCATGAAAGTTCATCTTGACAAAAATTAATGAAAATGATCACATTTAAACCTGGTAAACCTCTCCCAATGACATAGACATTTTAATATTCTTATGCTATGCCCCGACTCCATATCTACGTACTTGTAGGCCAATTTATATGTAGTGCATTACTAAAGAGAGAAAGTATTGCAATAGATATATAGCAATGCCTAACGCACATAATGTCCTACGCAGTATACGTTTATATTCCTGTAGTAATACTAGTAGTCTCTTAAAATAGATTTGATTGTATTGATCACATTGTTATTGATGCCATACATTGTACCATGTACAACTGTCGAGCAATAACGTTAATTTATTCAT